GGGCCTGGGTCCGACGGGGCGGGTCCGTTGTGGGGCGGGGCCTCAGCTGCGCCAGCCAATGGGCTGAATGAGGCCGGCGGCACCGCCCGCGTCGTCCCTGCGGAGTGGTCAGCGTGGGCTGGGCGGACCAGGGCGGGGCAGTAGCCTAGGTCTGGAGGTCCCCCAAGCGTTAGCCGCAGTCACAGCCCGGCTGCCCGCCCGCGGCTGCACGGGGCAACGAGGCGGTGGGCGCCGCCCTTCTCCAGGAGCATCAGCTCCCGGCCGCGACTGGAAGCGCAGGGCCGCCGCCGGCCCGCGCCACCAGCCGCCAAGATGTGCGACTGCTTCCACGTGGTGCTGCCCACCTGGCCCGGAGCCCCCGGCAGCGGTGCGCCTCACCCCCGCCTGCAGCCCGCTTCCCTCGGGCGGGTGGGCTCTGCGGGCGAGCCGGGGCGTGACGCGGGCGCGCAGTGCGGGACGGGCTGCCTGCGCGCGCGGGAGGAAGGGCAGGAGAGATGGGACGGGGGCTGGCGGGCGGGTCTCCGGTGCTTTTTGGTCCTCCGCTGGCTCTGCTGGGTCTCTGCATCTCGCTCGTACTCTTGCCTGCTTCGTGCTTCTCCCTCCTTCCCCCCGGTCTCTGCTGCTCACCGTGTGTCTCGGGTTTCCATTACTTTGTGTGGCTCCTTGCACTCAGGACTCGCTCGCTGTCCCCGTTGCCCCTCTCACGTCCTCATCCCGGTCCTCCTCCTGTAACCCGCTGGGACGCTGCTTTGCCCAGTAAGGCGGCTAGGGAGGGAGTCAGGTGTGCACCATACTGGATGGAACAGGCCCAGGGTGAGCAGGCGCCAGTTCTAGGCTAGGCTGCTAGATGTAGCGTCCGACCTGCTTTTGGGGGACCATTCTGGCTAGACCAGGACTTAGATTGGGGCTACCCGGCTACGCGCTGTGCTGGATCTACCGTGTGTCTACTGTGTATATGGGCTAGGCTTGAGGCCTGGGTCTTCTTTCCTGAAGGGACTGAGTAGGGTCCTGTTGACCAGGTCAAGGGGCTTGACCCGGTCAGTGCCCCCTCTTGCTGAGCATCTGCTATGGCGAGGGTGCCCTGCTTTTATGAGACGGTCCCTGCCCTGGCCTGGGCCTACCTCTGGTGTCTTGGGGGGGCAGGGAGGGGCAGCAAGGACCTGTCCTTCAAACTCTGGGTCAGTTATGCAGCAGCCTGGCCACACCCAGGGCATCTGGCCAGCGGCTGGCCAGGGGACTGGGAGGAAGGAGCTGCCCTGGTACAGGCTGAGCCCCTCTCTTTGGGGAAAACAAGTCGATGACAGTTGTGACGATGAGGCCATTCATGATGCAGAGTGCTATGCAGAGGTGTGGCCCTGCCTGGCATCTTCTCCACCCAGAGTGGAGCTCCCACAGCCCCTCCTGTGGCCTCTTTGCCTGGTGTGACATGAGGCTGGATTGGCGCCTGGGACCCTTTGAGAACTGGCTTTTGCTGTCCCGGGGGTTCTCCTGCTGGGATTCTCCCACATAGCGACGGAGCCCAAGGGCCCTGACTAGACTAGAGAGGCAAAAAGCCCAAGGACATAGGGCTGCTGTGTCTCCAGTTTGCATGAGTGGCTTCCTTGTTCTTACGTTCAGGTTGAGAGACCACCTTACATTTTTAAAAAAATATTTATTATGTATAGTGTTCTGCCTGCATGTTTACCTGCGGGCCAGCAGGGGGCACCAGATCTCATTACAGATGGTTGTGAGCCACCATGTGGTTGCTGGGAATTGAACTGAGGACTCTTGGAAGAGCAGCCAGTGCTCTTAACCGCTGAGCCATCTCTGCAGCCCCACAGTTCACCCCCCCCACCGCACTCTGTACCCCACCCCCAAGGGTGTGCCTCTCCCACTCAACCCAGAGCAGAGCCACGATTGTTCCAGCTAACTTGCTCAGAGGCTGCCCCCTGGTGGATGTGCTGGGAATGGACCTACACAAGATTATGCGAAGGGGTGGAGCTGTGGGAAGGGGCGGAGCTGTATAGCGAAGTGTCCAACCCAGGCATGCCCAAGCTAGGTGGACCCTAGCGCAAGCTTCCTAACCGACGTCAGGAAGTTTGCCCCCGTAAGTGCTGGGTGTCGTACCCCCGTAGAGCATGTATGTGGGTTTTTTCTCTAGAGGCATAGCTGAATCTCAGAGAGAGAGTGACAGGGAGTCATGCTTTCGAAGCCGTGGTGGTCCCGGTGTTGCACCTGCGTGAGCCTGGCACAGCCTAGGCACTAACTCCCAGCATTCTTCAAGAAACCCCTGCTGGATCTGGGGAGTCCCCTGGTGCTGTGGCATCACCAGGGACGTCTGGATATTCTTTCTTTGGAGTTGGGGAGCCATGGTGTGACTAGCTCTTTCTCCCAACGAGTGTAGGGCCAGAGCAGCTGTTTAGGTGCCCAGCATTGGGGTCAGGGTGTAGGACCAGACCTGACGTCTGTGCCCAGGAGTGCCTGGGCTGCCATGCTGAGAGAGCTGTGCTCCGGTGAGGGCACATACTCTTGCCATTTCCTGGCAGGGTTGCCCACACTGGTAGGAAGATGTTCCTGTTCTGAAGACGGGTTACTGAAGCAGGAAGCGGGCGTGCTGAGCCCTGCATCATGGTGGACCTCTCTAGGCACCCAGAGAAGGGATAGGTGGTTCCGAAAGATACGAGGTGTCCTGCTCTGCTAGGCAGGGCAGAAAAAAAGACGGCTCTGGCGGCCCCTTCTCAGCTTTAGTGTGTGTGTGTGGACAGGCAGTGTGTGTGGGGACAGTGTGTGTGTGGGGACAGTGTGTGTGGGGGGGTGTTAACCTGGATCACTTCCCTACTTGAATGAGGTGGGATTAAAAGCCGCTGTTGGGGGCTGTATCAGCTGCCAACAACACCCCAGGCGCTGTTTGTTTGTTTGTTTGTTTGTTTTAGAGACAGGGTTTCTCTGCATAGTCCTGACTGTCTTGGAGCTCCCTCTGTAGACTGAACTGGCCTCAAACTCAGAGATCCTCCTGGCTTGTCTCCTGAGTGCTGGGATTAAAGGCATGCGCCACCCCTGTCCAGCAAGTCTTTGAATGGCTCAAGGGACAGGACTGTGTTCATCTTGCTCTCTCCAAGTCCCAGGCTACACCTACTTTTTTTTTTTCTTTTCTTCTTCTTCTTTGTTAGGAGTAAGCTTCTCCTCCTCCTCCTCCTTCTTCTGCCAAGAAAGAGGTAGTTTGGGCTTGAGAGTAGGGAGGAGGTGCTCTCTCTGATCAGACAGGCTCTTCTGCCCTGGGCTACACTAGCTGCTGCCCCGATGGAAGCATTTTACTAGCTTCGTTGCCTTTCCTCCTGTGATGCCCTCCACACCCTTTACTGAAGATATTTGTGTTTCAGGGGCAGTTTAGATCAGCTTGGCTAGGGAGGACAGGCTTGAGCCCTGGCAGAGAGAGTGGAATCCTTACCCACCTGAGCATCACTGCCAGCTGGGAACAAAAAAAATCTAGATCTCACGGCCTTTGTCCTGGGCCCAGAAGGAGAAAGATCTTGCACTCAGGGATGGTGTCGAGTATGAGAGATGTCCACTCATCTCTGCCTGTCCACCTATCCATCTGTGCTTGAGAGCTGGTACCACTATCCACTGGAGGTCTCCAGACTTAGGAGGGAGAGCAGAGATTCACCCATTGCTTGTCTAGCAAATGGGAGGTGGCCGGGGTATGTGGAGGAGTCATGGAGGGCTCAAAGGTGTCCATGAGGAGGGAGGCCCCAGGCAACAGTAACAGTGTTAACCAGGCTGGATCTGGGTAGTTCTTGGGTGGGGGACAGGGGCTGGGGACATGAACTTGCACAGAGGAAAGGGTGAATCTATGAACTCAGGGAAGCGTAGTTTGGCAGAAACACTGAATTCCCAGTTTTGGACCCCACTCCAAGGAAGCAGTCCTGTGAAGGGCATTTCTCCAGGGGCCCTGTCTTCCTGTTCCCTACCCCTGCCCCTGCCTCTGGGTTTCCCTTCATTTTTCTTTTTTTGGAAGTCATGGGCCAAGGGAGCCAAGGCCTTCTTTGCTGGGATAAATATTTAATAGTCAGAAGCACTTTCTCAGATGGAAAATTGGATGCGGGCCTAGGAGGCCTGGGGCAGGAGGCTGCGCTCCCCACTCCCTACACCACACCACACACACACACACACACACACACACACACACACACACACACACACGGAGAGACACTTCCAGCCACTCCTGCCGCCTGGCCCCAGTGTGGAGGGGCCAGGACAGATGACAGCCATGAGGTCCCTCTCCAGGGTCCTGGCTGTACACTCGGTCCTTACACCCTAGTGATAAAGGAGGAGTGGTGGGCAGAGCTGTTGGGTGTTGTGAGGCAGACCAGGAAGGGACCTCAAGTCACTCTCCTGCCCGGACACAGTTGCTGGTGGCGAGGGCGCCAAGATGAGAGCAGGAACCGGCCTGTGGGCACTGAGCTCAAGCGCCCGTCTTCCTTTGATTCCTCGGTGGCCCCTTGTTCCCTGGACCCTGTGTGGGAGGACGAAGATGCTCCGGGCCAGCCCGCTACTGGGAGACTCCTCCCTGGCAGGCCTTGCTAGCGGGTGGGAGGGTGTCAGCAGCTCCCAGGCCGTGCTGTGACACATCCCCTGGGAATGCCCTGGGCTGAGTCACTATCAGCTGCCCCCAGCCCCACCCGACCTTGTCACTGCCAAGTTCCCATGGTACCAAAGAGCTGGGCTAGGGGACCTGGCAGCTCCAAGCCGGACGTGCCTGTGCAGTGGGTGCCACTTGGCACATCCAGACACCTAGGTCTGAGGGTCTGTGGTACGTGACTCAGCAGATGCCCACTGCCCTCCACCGGCCTCACCTGGCCACTGGGCCCTGCTACACAGAATCAGGAGTTGAGCAGTGTGTGTGTATGTGTAGGCATCCTTAGGATCTGAGGTCAGCAAAGCCTTCTGAGAGTCAAGTGAGCCCCCGTGAGTTGGATGTGAGCCAGGGGCAGCTCACGAGGTCCTTCAGAAACACAGCGATCATGACTTTCCCTTCCGGCTGTCACCTGTCCCAATCCCTGTCATCTCGGGAGCTCGCGGTGCCGTGGTGCACCTGGAAGATGGGAGACGGCAGTAGGTTTCTGTACCAGAGCCTGTGCTGGGCGATCATGGCCCCCTCAGGTTGGGAGGGTGACTCAGCTACCCCACAGCAGGTCCCCTTTGTAGGGAACATCCCTCTGGTGGGACTCTGACTGAGGCTATCGCCATGGTGACCTCAGAAGAAGCAGGGAGTCAGAAGGCAGTGTGGGGTGGGCCTCAGGGGTAGAGGGACCTGGCTGGATCGCCGGCCTGGCTCAGGAGAGAACTTGGTGGCAGCAGGGGACGTGCTCCCTGCCAGCACCCTTCCCGCCTATCTGGCTATGCTGCCCCAGCTTGCAGCAGCAGCGCCTGGCTGACTCAGCCAGCCTTGCCCCACCTAGAGCTGACAGTTTGGTCTGGTGTCAGGCAGTAAACAGAGTTCCCAGGTGAGAGCATCTTGGGAGCAGGGGCCCTGGAGCGAGAGCGGAGGTGTGAGACCTAGCCTGCTTCCCCGTGCAGTGTAAACAGAGCTGTCTTCTCCTTTCACGCCGAACGACCAGACCAACGTTCGGGATTTTAGGGCAAGGTCGGGGGAAGCCCACCAGCCCTTCCCCTTCCTTCCGGGACTGAGGACATCCCTGAAGTCTCTTTCCCTATTTGCCCACCAACGGCCCCTGCCTTCTCCCTTCCTTGATGGGTTTCACCTCAGGCTGCTCTTGGCTTCTGCGCCCCTACTGGCTCTTCTACTGCTCCCATCGGCTCTCATTTCTAGGCCCATGTGACAATCTGGGGCTTGGCATGTTCGGCGGGACCGCCCGCCTAGACCCTTCCCTGCCCTGCAACCCTGCCCTGCAACCCTGGGCTGGGGCCCTTAGCCGTGTGAGCCCGCGGCAGCAGCCTGCCCTTAGGTTCAGGTGCCCACAACCAGTCCTGGGACCCCAGGACTGCTGGCCAGCTAGACAAAGAGGGGTCGGAGCTGAGGGCGGAGGCGGCAGAGAGGGAGCAGCCCTGGAGATGTGAAGCCTGAGGAGGCAGGGTTCTCAACCACCATTGCTCTGCATAAAGGTGGGAATGAAGGCCAAAGGTCAGTCCTGAGGTTCAGCCACACCTCTATTACGCAGTACCCCTCACCCCATCTCCAGGTGCAGGGGATGCCGCATGCCTGAGGGTTAGAAAGGTACTGTGTCTGGGGTAGAACTGGCCTTTCCAGATTTCCTTTCTTCTCCTTTTTTTTTTTTTTTTTTTTTTTTTTTTTTTTTTTTTTTTAAAGACAGGGTCTCACCATGTAGCTCTGACTCTTCTGGAATTGACATGTAGGCCAGGCTGGTCCCAAACTCACAGAGATCTGCCTGTCTCTACCTCCCAAGTGCTGGCGTGAACCGCCCCATCCAGCTCCTTTCCCTTTTTTGAGTCCCCCGCCGCTGCAGGGAAACTGAGGCCCAAGGCCTGGGAATGGAAGACCCTGCCTGGCGTCTGTGCATCCACACAACAGCAGGCCTGGGCTCACACAGTGCTCACACACTGGCCGGGCCAGTGGCTGTGAGTCAGCCGGCCGCGGGGGGGGGGGGCGGGCGTTTCCTCCCCAGGTCAGCTGCCTGGGCTGGCGGGGGTGGGGAGCTGGGGTGGGGTCCCTGGCCTTGTGAGGGGAACCGCCCCGCCCCTCCCTCTGGTAGGGTGTGTGCCTGTGTTGGGGAAGGGGGGTTGGCGGGGCACCGAGCCTGGCTGAAGACGTGGGAGGAGCCACAGTGAGGGAGGGGCCGAGGAGGGAGGGTCTGGCGGGAGGCAGCCGGCCCAGGCTTTCTTGTAGGCAAGTTTGGGAACGGAGTCTTCTTGGAGAAGCGGCTGCACCCCTGCTATACCCCATCCCCTTCTGGGCTCATCATCCCTGCAACACCGGCCCCTCTCGCCACTCGCAGGTCAGAGGGGGCCGGCAGCCAGCAGGGAGGCTGGAGGGCAGGGCTGGGCCGGGCATCTTCCTTCTGTCCTGCTTCCTGCTGATGTTGAAGGACAGGGGTGTCAGTTCCTGTGGCTCCAGCTAACTTGTGCCAGGGCCAGCCAGGCTGGGCTGGGAAAATGCTAGCGAGGAACTGTTTGGACCCCAGATGGCCTGGAACCAAGCAGGCCCTGGACCAGTACCGCCCGGTTTGCATTCCAGGCTGAGTTGCCACAGAACTCCCAGCTGCCCACGCCCCTGCCCCTGCCCCTGCCTGACTAGTGGTTTTTGCTTGGATAGAGCCTAGGTTGTGAGGGACATTGGTGCTATTTCAGTAACAGGACACAGAACCACAAAGTTGGGCTTTGTGGCCTACGGAGGGCTGCTCAGATGGTGGCCACTGACCTGGTTTGTGTACAGAGGCCTGGGATGGCTATAGAAGATGGAACTGGAAAGTGGGCTGCCTGTGATGGGCCACATGTCCCTGATGTCCAGACTTTTGCCCTTAACTCAAAGGATCAGCGCGGCCGGTCTGTTCTTGGATGGCTGAGGGTGTGGTGGCCCTGAATGGCTCCCTGCTGGCTCCTGAATCTTTGGGGGTTGATGGGCTAGCATACTTTTCTGTGTGTCAGTTTATCCAGATACAGGAGCCAGCCTGGGCTCACCTGCTGTTCTATAGCTCTCAGATGCAGCGTCTTTCTAAGTCTGCAGGGCTGCCCAGTGCCATTTTATTTGTTTCTGAAGCAGGGTCTCTGTAACCCACAGCTCAGGAGCTGGCCTCGAGCCTCCGGTCTTCATGTCTCTGCCTCTCCAGTGCTAGGATTGATTCATGGCTACAGAGCCACCATACTCCGCATTGCCTGTTTTGACTGGCTTGTCTCTTTCTCTCCTCAGCCATTTACTGTACTAGCATTTATTCTGTTCCTATTGTATACCGCGCTCTAAGTGCTTAGGATGCAGAGGCAACTACAGGGCCGCCTGTCTCTCCGCTTCTGAGTTTGCCCCTGGGGGAGTGGAGGCAGGCAGTCTGTGAAAAGCCCAGCATTCCACAGGAGGTAAGGAGCCGAGGCAAGCTGAGGTCTTCCACAGGTGATTCCAGAGAGCTTGGTTTGGGAGAGGGACGGGTGGCCATCCTCCTGGCATAGCTGGCCCGCATAGTGAAGAGCTCTGGCCCTGGACTCTGTGGCTCAACCCTTGGGAGCTGGCGCTGGCCCCTGGTCATCTACAGAAGCGTTGGGGGACGGAGCGGGCGGGCCTGCCACAGCCTAGGGTGTTGCTTCACAAGGTCTGAAGGTCTCATGACAGTCAGCCCAGCTTGGCACTTGCTTTGTGAAGTTCCAGGATGGGGTGAGGCCCGAGTGCATGCACCGTGGGGTGGACCTGGCTCTGGGTGAGCCCACGAGGGCACTAGGATCCCAGTCTGAAAGCAGTGGCCTCCACAGTGTGAGCCTGCCCTGGGCCCCCCACCGCCAGAGCTTCACGTGGGGCTGTCCCTGGATGCTGGGGGGGGGGCAGCCCTGACCAGACAAGGCTGCACACTGATGCACCCATACACACAAACTCGCAGGCAACTGGAGAGCTGAGCGTCTCAGTGGTTTCCTAAGGGTCCCACTGTCCCGGTCCCCCGTCCTTCTTCCCTCCCCATCCCCCCCACCCCTGGTCACATACAAACATGGCTGCCATACCAGGCCCTGCCTGGAAGCCAAAGCAGTATGAACGCAAACCCTGCCTCCATGGCCCTGCTGGGATGGTCCTGAACAGAAAGGTGCCCGTGGATCATGGGGGCAACATGGGCCCCCTCTATGCAGCCCCTGCCTGCCTCCCCCGCCCCCGCCCCCGCCGCTCATCTGTTCAGACTTACCCTAAAACAGTTCAGTTCCTAGAACTGCAGCTTCTCCAAACTGGGGGGGGGGTGCCCACATGGGTGCCCCACCGTGATTTTGTTCAGCCCCATGGTGCCCTGGCTGGGGATTGGCTTCCCTAGGGTCCTGCAGGGTTGTGTCTGTAGGAGTGGGATGTTAGCGGCAGTGTTTGGAACTGTGTGAAGGGGTTGGGTTGCTGGGGGGGGGCAGGGAATTTGGGGGAATATCAGGCGACAGTGGCCAGACCTGCTAGGCTTGGCTCAGGGTGTCCCCATTTCCTCCTCTATAAAACGGGGCTTTGGTGACTGTCAGCGACCTGTGTCATTATTTAGATGGCAGTGTCCAAGGCTGGGCTGCTTGCAGAGCTGTGTGAGAGAGACTATGTGGGCAGAAGGTTAGGGTGCTTCCATGTCCCCCGGGCCTGGGAATCACTCTGCCCTGAGGCCTCCCTCACTCCCACAGCTGGTAGGGTAGGCAGCCTCTCTCCCTCCGTCCTACAGCCAGGAGAGCTTCTGCTTTCCTCTTTGAACCTTCCTGGGCGGCAGGGGGTGGGCAGCGTGCTAACCCTGGAGTGCAGCCTTGTGGCAGAGTGGTCTCTTTTCCGGAAGGAGGAGGGGCTGTGTGGGTAGGATTGGCTATTCTGCGGTTTGCTAAGCCTGAGATAGGGGCCTGAACCCAGCCTCTTGCTCCCCACATCCCAGCTGTCAACACCTTTCTCAGACTCCCCTGAAACGGGTTTGGAATACAATTCCTCAAGGGTAGGTCGCTGCCTGGCTATGGGGGTCTGCCGTTCTGGACCCCCAGCCCAGCCCCACCTGGACCCAGGCCCAGGTCCTGGCCGAAGCTCCAGCCTCAGGCGGGGAAACAGGAAGGCGTGGGTCCACCCGCCCTTGCCCGGGCCCCTCTCCACACTCCCTGCCCTGCCCTCTTTTTTCTCCATGCCCTGAGTCAGTACATGGCTCCTCCGAGCAATCCTGGGTGCCTAAGCAGTGGTGAGGTGCGTGGGGGAGGGTGATGGAGACAGATGCTGGCGCACTTCCTTTCTACCCCCAGGTTCTGGGGTGTGGGACGTGCACACGGGAGGCTCCAGGGATACTGGGTTCTTTGGCTGTTGTCTTGCCTAAGGTCAATGGAAACTGGCTTTCCTGATATCCTGGAGGTCGGGTGCATGGTTTGGCCCACAGAGCACCAGGAAGGCGTGGTGGGGCCTGGCAGGGTCTCCCTACCTCCTTCAGGAGGGCCAACCCCAGGAAGCTCCATCCCGGCCCTCGCAGAGCCACTTTTGAGAAGAAACAGGCATGAGAAGAAGCCAGGGTGGCCAAAGCTGATGGGCCCGGCTCCAGGGTGTGCCTCTGGGACAGGCGTGCCAGGACAGTCAGGGTGGCCCCTGTGTGTACGTGGGGAAATCCAGGTTGGCCAGAGAGTAATAGGTACATTCAGAACCCTGCTAGGCCTGGAGCGCCTTGTCCCTGTGGGAATGCCATCAAGGTCATCTCCATTATCGATGGAGATGGTGTCTGTGCAGCTGGGTCTCAACCCCTCAGGACGGGCCAAGCAGGGGTGGGGTTTGATCCTCAGCTTTGTTTCCCTGGAGGTGGGAGGCAGGCCTGAAGCCTGGGCCCAGCCACAATCCACGTCCATCAGGGCTGTTCTTCTTCTGAATATTTAGCAGAATTCAGGGACTTTAGGCTGGGGGGGGGAGGGCAGAGTTTTGTTTGTTTCTTCTGTAACCCAATAAAACTTTAGTTGTGAAGGCAGGCAGTGGATGAGGCCAGTCACTGCCTTTCTGTCTTCTGACTAATAACATACCTGGCACAGAGAAAGCACCTTGACGTATCTTTAAAATATTTGTAGAGTGCTGGGTGTGGTGGTGCACCTTTAATCCCAGCAGTCCGGAGGCAGAGGCAGGTGGGTCTCTGTGAGTTCCAGGACAGCCATGGTGAAACCCTATGTCAAAACAAAGCAAAATCAAAAACCAAAAATGAGAAATAAATTTTGTAAACAAACAAAAAAAAAATTTGTAGGACAGAGATAAGCGTAAGTGTCACTAGGGTGTCAGAGTTTGCTGGCGGCACGGTGACATGCTGGTGCCTATTAGCTTGTGCCTGGCTGTGAAGCTGCAAGGCCAGCAGGTAGGCAGACATGGCCTCGGTCGACACCAGCCCACCATTTCCCAAACTGATTGTCCTAGTCCACCTCATGCCCAGGATGGGACAGGAATTGCAGCTGCCCGCCTCTTCTCCCCTTCAGCCTTTTCGTGGGGAACGGCCAGTTGTACATCCTGTCTGTGCATGCCCTCCACGTCTGTTTCCCTCCTCGCCAGCGCCTTCCACTGGAAATTAAACTCATGGCTGCTCAAGTGCTAGGGAAGCATTCTACCACTGAGCTATGTTCCCAGCCCTTCCCTGGTTTTCTCCTGGGTAATTTAGCCCTCTGGTTCGCAAGAATTATTAGTACTTTCCAGGCAGGCTGCCTATGTTTGATAAATGTCTTACAAACATCTTTGCCCTGGCCGGGGTTTTCACACCAGTGTCTGCCTAACTGAAGATCGAAATTTGAAGATAGGCTGGTTTCTCACTTATATGTGCTAATTTAAAAAAAATTAAAATTGTGTGTGTGTGCGCGCGCGTGTGTGTGCGTGTGCGCGCGTGCGTAAGTGTGTGTACGTGCGTTCATGTGTGTGCGTGTGCGTGTATGTGAGTGTGTGCGTGTGTATGTGTGCGTATGTGTGTGCGTGTCTGTGCGTATGTGTGTGCGCGTGTGCACGCGCGTGTGCATGAGTGCTGCGTGTGCGTGCATGTGTGTCCGTGTGTGTGCGTGTATGTGTGCGCGCACGTGTATGTGAGTGCGTGTATGTGTGTGTGTGTGTGTGTACGTGTGTTCATGTGTGTGCGTGTGCATGTGTGTGCGTGCGTATGTATGTGTGTGCGTGTGTGTATGTGAGTGTGTGCGTGTGTATGTGTGCGTATGTATGTGTGCGTGCGTATGTGTGTGCGTGTGCGCGCGTGTGTATGTGTGTGCGTGTGTGTCCGTGTGTGTGCGTGTATGTGTGCGCGCACGTGTATGTGAGTGCGTGTATGTGTGTGTGCGTGTGTGTAGAAACACATATGCTGCAGTGCATGGAGAGGCCAGAGGACAGCCTGTGGGACTGACTTCTCCCTCTACCACGGGGTTCCAGGGATTGAACTCAGGTCATCAGACTCTGTAGCAGATACGTCCGCCCGAGGAGTCATCTCACCAGCCTTTGTGCCCTGTTTCCTGTGGCTTCATTGGTGATAAAGATTGGTGTTTCCCATGTCCAGTGGCCCCTGCACCCCTCACTGAGAAAATCCTGCCATGCCCACAGGTGCTGGCGCATCTGCTCTGCGGCTTTTACTCTGCATTTCCCTGAATGTAATGGTGCTGGGGACTGGTCCCCTTTTCCCTCATTAATTGACCATTTTCACACTGTCCTTTGTAAAGCATGCGCATTTTGAGCTCGTGTGTGTGTGTGTGTGTGTGTGTGTGTGTCTGTGTGTGTCTGTGTCTGTGTGCAGGCCAGAGGTCAAACTCAAGACATTATTCCCCAGCTACTGTTCACATTAGTTTTTGAGGCGGGGTCTCTCACAGGCTTGGAGTTCTCCATGTAGGTTAGGCTGACAGGTCCGCAAGCCCCAGAAAACCACAGGGTTAGGAGCACAAGCCACCACACCCACCTCTTTAAAAAGATGAGCTCTGTGGGAGACTGCCCAGCATGGATTGGTTCTGGAAACCTGACGGGGCAACAAGGGAGTAAAGAGAGGACAGACACACAAACACACACACAGACAAGCTGGGTCTGGGGAGGCCATGCTCCCTGACCGTGCCCAATCCACCACACACAGCCGGAAGCTGGGTGCACGTATTCTGTACAGCACAAGGAGGGCTGACCTGTCTGCTGTGAAGTCATCTCAGCTGCGGTCATCTGTGGGGAGGGTCTGCAGCCAGGCTCACCGTACCTAGAAGAAGGCCTTGCCAGCTCCCATGGATCTGAGGTCCTTGTCAATGATAGACATTCACTCGAGACTCCACCTACCAACTGAGCCTGCTGCCTTTCCTCCCTCCCTCCCTCCCTCCCTCCCTCCCTCTCTTCCTCCCTCCCTCCCTCTCTCCCCCTCCCTCCCCCTCCTTCCTCCCCCTCCCTCTCCCTCTCATTGTGTACAAGTGTAATGGTTGTTGTTGTAGGAGAATGGGGTATCAAGTTCTTGACTGACAGCTTGTTTCTTTCAATCTTTGTGAAATTGTTGAATTTTCTTATTTCCACGGTGGGTTTCTTTTTTTGGTTTTTTTTTTTTTTTTTTTTGTTTGTTTGTTTGTTTTGTTTTTCAAATTTCCAAGTAGCACTTTGTAGACCAGGCTGGCCTCAAACTCACACAGGTCCTCCTGCCTCTGGAATACTGGAATTAAAGGTGTGTACCACCACTGCCCAGCTAGTCCTTTAATTTTGTCTCAGAGTGCAGCTCAGGGTAGTTTAGAACTTACTACGGAGACCAGGCTGCCCTTGAACTTACAGAGATCGGCCTGCATCTACCTCTGGAATGCTGGGATTAAACAAGCCCCACCACACCCCGACTCCTCTTTACCCCGACTTCTCTTTAATTTGTACTTTGAGTCACAGTCTTGTGTTGCCCAGATTCTGACTCTCTCCCTCCCTCCCTTCCCCCCTCCTTTCCTCTGTGTGTGTGTGGTGTGTGTGATGTGTATTGTGATGTGTGTGTGATGTGTTCTGTGATGTGTGTTGTGATGTGTTCTGTGATGTGTGGTGTGTATTTGTGTGATGTGTGTTGTGATGTGTGTGTGGTGTGTGTGTGATGAGTATTGTGATGTGTGTGTGTGTGTGTGGTGTGTGATGTGTATTGTGATGTGTGGTGTGATGTGTGTTGTGGTGTGTGTGTGTGTTGTGTGTGTGTATGTGGTGTGTGTGTGATGAGTATTGTGATGTGTGTGTGTGTGTGATGTGTGTTGTGATGTGTGTGTTTGTGTGATGTGTATTGTGGTGGTGTGTGTGTGTGGTGTGTGTGTGTGATGAGTATTATGATGTGTGTTGTGTTGTGTGTGTGTGTGTGTGACGTGTATTGTGGTATGTGTTGCGATGTGTGTGTGTGTTTGCACACAGGGGCCCATAGCCTGCTGAGCCCGTCTGCCTCAGCAGGTCCGGGGCTGGCTTTCGTGCTGGATTTGCCGGTTATCAGTGGTGTCTCTGTGCCTATCTGTGTGTTGGGTCCCTGTGTCTGAAGCATTTAACATGGTTTGTCCCATGAGGATCTGTGTTTCTCTTGCACAGGCCTCTGGGGCCTGTCAGCCGGTTCCCTCCATTGCTTCTTCAGTGAGTTTTCCCGCCTTTCCTTCTTTTTCTGCACAATGCTGAGGCCCTGTGCCGCTCTGCTCATCTTTCTCCGATTTCCTAGCGTGCTCCTCAGACTGGCGATGGGATCCAGTTTGAAGCGCTTCCTTCAGTTTCCTCTAATCTACTGCTGAATCTCTCTAGCCCACACCCGACAATTTTCACTGTGTTGGTTTTAAAAACCCATGGTTGAATTTATTAATTTTTATGTGATACATGGTAACATATATCCCAGATTGGCCTGAGGATAACCTTGAACTCTCACTCATGCAGTCACCTGCCTCTCCAGCGCTGAGGTTGCAGGTGTGAACCGCCATGCAAGGTTTTGCAGTCCTGGAAATTGAAACTGGGCTGTGTGCATGCTAGGCAAGCAGTCTAGTTCTCTCCCTTTATGAGAGCCTGCCGTCTATTTTTAACTCTGCACACATGGTTCCCTTTTGTGTTTTGAGTACTCTGTTAGTGGTTGGTTGGAGCCTGCATTAAATGCACACCTTTGCACTCTCGGAGAAACCTTGCATCCCTTGCCTTACTCTTCACCGTGGGCCCCCGCCTCCTCGTGACTTTTGGATGCATGCTGGACATTTAGCAGAGCATACTGTAGTAGCTCTGGAAGTTAATTTCAGGCTCATGGCAGTTACTGTGTGTTTCTTTCCTGGACTAACGGGTCTGAGCCCCCAAATCCCACCCTACCTCTGTCCTGTGGTTGTTCCCACCGCTCATACTGAGGGTCCTGGGTCTTCCCTCAGGCCCATGTTCACTCTTGCGTACCCTGTTTTCCTGCGTTCACCTCGCGGCCTCCGGCCCTCATGTGCTCTAACAGCTCGTATCTCCACAGTGTCCGGCCGACAGCTGCAGCAGCAGGAGCCCGGCGCTGAGAATGAAGAGAAGCACTCAGTGAGTGTCCTCCAAGAGGAAGCCTGTCCTCCTCAGCCCCACCCCGTCTTCGGGGGGGGGGGGAGAGGGGAGAGAGAGAGAGAGCGAGCACTGGTGGTCGGAGGTAACTTTATTCTCTTCTGCCAGGTGACTGAAGGGCCTGTGGGCGAGATCATTCGGCCAAGGCCACAGGGGTCCTCACCTGTTTACGAATTCACACCTGAAGGTGCTGTTGGCTTTGGAGCCCAGGTAAGTCTGCTGGGCAGGACTGCTGGCAGAAGGAAGGCTCAGGTGTGGCCCCCGGGCGGGCGCCATTATCCCTGTTCACTGGTGTCTGTTAACTGCTTGCCCTTCCAGCTGTGCGTTTCTTCTCGCCCTTCCTTCAGTCCCATCCTTTAGCTGACTGAACCACTGTGGAGGTGGAGGGGACACTTGCAGCCCGTGTGCGTGTATGTGTGTGTGCGTGTGTGTGCGCATGCATGTGTGTGTGTGTGCGTGCGTGCGTGCATGTGTGTGTGTGTATGTGTCTGTGTGTATGAGACAAACTCTGAGAACCCATGTGTGGGATGTGGCAGGGGCCATACTCCTTCATGGCACACACACATACACTCACACCTGTACACTCACACCATCTTGGAGAGGAGACTGCGGACATCCTGTGAGAAGAGCCAAGGCAGTGATAAGAGGAGGCGTGTCTGCGCTAAGGACTCATTCCACCCTTGGGAAGTCTTCCCTGCTCTATGGCAGGCACCTCCAGCTGCTGCCTGTACTCAGTGAGGAAACAGGAGGCTGAGAGTTGCTTTTCCCAGTGAGGTCCCTGGGTCCGCATCCCCGGAGTTGCTGCACTATTACATCCTGGGCTCTCCTGCCTAGTCCCTCCCCAGCTCACCAGTCTCCTTAGCAGGGTTAGTGATCATTCCCAACCCCTTGACTGCAGGAAAACAACCAGGGCAGGCGCAGCTCTGCTGGCAGAAGGAGATCCTGGTGGAAACGGGATTCGGGGGAATCCTCAGGCTTCTCCAGCATGAGTCATCCAGAGGTAAGTGCCATCGCTGTGACAGTTGGGAAACCCCTTCCTCAAGGGCTTCAGCCCCAGGAGATAGGGGGAGGAGCCCAGCATGTGCCCTGGAAATAGTGCCCCTGTGCAGGCCTGGGAGGGGCAGATTCAGAGGCTAGTATCTACCTCCTAATGAAAGAGCCTGACTTCTGACTAGCATATGTACAGCCATGCCTCAGTATGCAGTGGACGACACTGTAGAGATTGGTACCCACACTGTGGTGAGCAGGGCCTTGGCCGAGGGAGATGGGAGGGGTTCAGTGGGTACCCATCGAGGGGCACTTGGCCTCTGTGCTTTCCTGGAGAGTTTGGTGGACTCGGGTGGTGACCATCATTTGCAGGATCAGGTGGACTGCAGATTTCCCAGTGTTCGAGTCCCTCCGGGGACCCAGCACTGATGCTTTACCTGGCATGGGTGCTTCACACATTTGTAATGAAACCAGCAGAAGGGAGGCCGGCAAGAGCCCCTCCCCTGGGGTCTCAGCTGCATAGACACTCTGTCCCCCCTGGGGACAAGGTGAGATGTGGGGATGCCTGCAGCTGGGCTTTCTCCAAACCCCAGATATAACAACCTGGCCCACTGGATGAGGCCTCAACTTCTACCCAGGCAGCACAGATCACCATCCTCGGGTGACACTGACCACTACAGCAATGCCCATCCGAGACAGACAAGCATTCATCACACCTTCCTGGCCTTCTGTCCCCACTTATGCAGGAGGCAGCAGAAGTGGCCCTGGAGACTGAGGTGGAGTCAGGAGTCAGTGGCTACAGTGTCACAGGTGGAGGGGACCAGGGCATTTTTGTCAAGCAAGTGCTGAAGGACTCATCCGCTGCAAAACTATTCAGCCTAAGAGAAGGTACCACAACTGTCCCATCCCGGGGGGGGGGAGGGGGCTCCAATATCAACACCAGGATGGGAAGTAATGGAAACGGAGAAGCCTGGATGGGGGTGGACATCACTTGAAGCTTGGGATGACCCTATGGGCTTTGCGCAACCACTCCAGGCTGGGACTGCCTCCGTGCCCCGATTTTTTTCTGTGTGTTGTTTAAGGTACCACTGGGTAAATGGATATAGGCTATAGCCTTCTCTTTGCCAATGCAGCCCCCAGGCCATTTGTAATCTGGTGGGGACTGGAGCACTGAGCCTGGTTTCCTCTTCCTTTAGGGGATCAGCTTCTCAGTGCAACCATATTCTTTGACCACATGAAATATGAAGATGCTCTTAAGATCCTGCAGTACTCAGAGCCATACAAAGTCCAGTTCAGAATCAAACGGAAATTCTCGGCCAGCAGGGGAGAGGAGTTGGCCACTCAGCACCCTCAGCAAGGTTTAAAAGGCCAGGAAAAACAGGTAAGGTCCTATCCAGTGGCTCCCTTCCTGTGAACAGTGTCCAGGGCACATGCTATTGGACCCAAACCAAACAGCTTCTTCTCTGTTTCAGGACAAGGACACTGCTGATGGATACATGGAGACCCCTACAAAGACTATAGAGGCAGATGGAGATCGAGAAAGACTTATCTCTAAGTCCAGGGATGGTCGCCAGAGGCGGCCCCAAGACAGACTTTCCTGGCCAAAATTTCAAGCCTTAAGGAGCAAGCGAGGGACAGGCCCCCGACGTTCACACAGTTCCTCAGAAGCCTCAGAGCACAGGGACACACGTGACGTGTCCCCTACAAGCACAGACACAGAGACTCAGCTGACAACTGACAGCCAGGAGCAGAGGTCAGGGTCAGCAAGAAGAACAAGGAGGTTCATGAACCTGAGATTTGGGATGGGATTAGGTCAGGGTAAAAATACAACTGAGCAAACACACAGAGATCCCCAGCACAGGCAAGATCACTCTGGAGTGCTACAAGAGTCCCAGCCGCAGGAAGACGAGACACAGGCAACAGGGGTCACATCGACTGCGCAGATGCCCGTGGAGCCCGGGCATTCCAGCTTGGACAAAGGAGGCCCCAGGGAAATGGCGGTGAAGACAGACAGAAAACAAAGGAAGAAAAAGCAGTTGGCAAAGGAAGAGAAGCAGAAGTCAGCAGGCAAGCACAGAGCTGAGCCGGGCCCCGGAGGGAGCTGGGATGACGAGTGGGAGGAGCTACAGAGTCTGGAAACTGGCATTGCCCGACTGTCTCTTCAAGACAAGCATGAGCAAGGCAGGACACAGGTTCCACTACGAGACACGCAAGCCACGGAAGAGAGGTTTTCCAAAAGGAAGACGAAAGAATTGAAAAAGGTCACGAAAGAAGAAGGAACAGGGGAGACAGAACCAAGAGGATCGGGAAACAGGGACGAAGAAGGAACGCACCGCACAGAAGAACAACAGGGGGAAGTGATCCACACCTCGGGAGAGAGACCACAGCAGGGAGACGGGGGAAAAGAGCAGACGGAGGAAGGGAATGAAGACCAGGGCTCAGACATGGCAGAAATGAGGGTGAGGATGCCAAGATTCAGGGTACCGTCATTTGCCTGGTCGCCATCAAAGAATGTAATCACCATGCAAAAGGACAGAAATGAAATGGACACAAAGGAATACGAAAAACTAAAAGAGGGATTGGAAACACACACCAGTGGAGAGGAGAAAGAAACAGAAACGACACGGAACAAACAACACATTCCGAGACCACAAACGGATGACAAAGAAGAAAAAACCATACGAAAGAGTAAGCACACAGAAAAAGTGACGATGAAGGGCCACAAAGAGGAGCTGAGCAGCCCACAGGAAGGGTCCCTGCCCGGGATGGACACGGACATCCAGGACCTGGGAACAAAGCAAGAGCTGCACCTGACACGGACATACAAGGATGTGGCTGCCAAAGACAGCAAGTTCAAGATGCCCAAATTCAAGATGCCCTCTTTCGGGGTGACCTCGCCTGGCAAGCCCTCCGTGGAGGCCTCCCTAGAAGTGGCTGCCCCTAAGCTAGAGGCAGACGTGACTCTACCCTCAGTGCAGGGCGACCTCAAGACCCCTGACCTGAGCATTCAGCTGCCGTCCGCCGAACTGGAGGTAAAGGCCGGCCAGGTGGGCGTGAAGCTGCCCGAGGGCCAGCTGCCAGATGCAGAGCTGACCGCTCAGGCTGCTTCAGGATCGGACCTCAAGGGCCACCTGCCCAAGGTGCAGATGCCCAGCCTAAAGATGCCCAAGGTGGACCTGAAGGGCCCCCACGTGGACCTGAAGGCTCCCAAATTTGACGTGAAGGGCCCCAAGGGTGAGCTGAGAGCCGCGGGCGTGGAGGTGTCCCAGCCGGGCATCGACGTGGACATCCAGGTCCTTGGAGCAAAGCTGGAGGGGGACCTCGGCCTGACCCTAACCGACAAGGACGTAGCCGCCAAAGACAGCAAGTTCAAGATGCCCAAATTCAAGATGCCCTCTTTCGGGGTGTCCTCGCCTGGCAAGCCCTCCGTGGAGGCCTCCCTGGACGTGGCTGCCCCTAAGCTAGAGGCAGACGTGACTCTACCCTCAGTGCAGGGCGACCTCAAGACCCCTGACCTGAGCATTCAGCTGCCGTCCGCCGAACTGGAGGTTAAGGCCGGCCAGGTGGGCGTGAAGCTGCCCGAGGGCCAGCTGCCAGATGCAGAGATGCCCGCACAGGCTGCCGCAGGTTACGGCCTCAAGGGCCACCTGCCCAAGGTAGAGATGCCTAGCCTCAAGATGCCCAAGGTGGACCTGAAGGGCCCCCACGTGGACCTGAAGGCTCCCAAATTTGACGTGAAGGGCCCCAAGGGTGAGCTGAGCGGCCCAGACGTGGAGGGGTCGATGCCCGGCGTCGCCGTGGACATCCAGGTCCTTGGAGCAAAGCCGGAGGGGGACCTTGACTTGGCCGACAAGGACGTGGCCGCCAAAGACAGCAAGTTCAAGATGCCCAAATTCAAGATGCCCTCTTTCGGGGTGTCCTCGCCTGGCAAGCCCTCCGTGGAGGCCTCCCTGGACGTGGCTGCCCCTAAGCTAGAGGCAGACGTGACTCTACCCTCAGTGCAGGGCGACCTCAAGACCCCTGACCTGAGCATTCAGCTGCCGTCCGCCGAACTGGAGGTAAAGGCCGGCCAGGTGGGCGTGAAGCTGCCCGAGGGCCAGCTGCCAGATGCAGAGCTGACCGCTCAGGCTGCTTCAGGATCGGGCCTCAAGGGCCACCTGCCCAAGGTGCAGATGCCCAGCCTAAAGATGCCCAAGGTGGACCTGAAGGGCCCCCACGTGGACCTGAAGGCTCCCAAATTTGACGTGAAGGGCCCCAAGGGTGAGCTGAGAGCCGCGGGCGTGGAGGTGTCCCAGCCGGGCATCGACGTGGACATCCAGGCTTCTGGAACAAAGCTGGAGGGGGACCTCGGCCTGACCCTAACCGACAAGGACATAGCCGCCAAAGACAGCAAGTTCAAGATGCCCAAATTCAAGATGCCCTCTTTCGGGGTGTCCTCGCCTGGCAAGCCCTCCGTGGAGGCCTCCCTGGACGTGGCTGCCCCTAAGCTAGAGGCAGACGTGACTCTAACCTCAGTGCAGGGCGACCTCAAGACCCCTGACCTGAGCATTCAGCTGCCGTCCGCCGAACTGGAGGTTAAGGCCGGCCAGGTGGGCGTGAAGCTGCCCGAGGGCCAGCTGCCAGATGCAGAGATGCCCGCACAGGCTGCCGCAGGTTACGGCCTCAAGGGCCACCTGCCCAAGGTAGAGATGCCTAGCCTCAAGATGCCCAAGGTGGACCTGAAGGGCCCCCACGTGGACCTGAAGGCTCCCAAATTTGACGTGAAGGGCCCCAAGGGTGATATAAGAGCCCCGGGCGTGGAGGTGTCCCAGCCGGGCATCGACGTGGACATCCAGGCTTCTGGAACAAAGCTGGAGGGGGACCTCGGCCTGACCCTAACCGACAAGGACGTAGCCGCCAAAGACAGCAAGTTCAAGATGCCCAAATTCAAGATGCCCTCTTTCGGGGTGTCCTCGCCTGGCAAGCCCTCCGTGGAGGCCTCCCTGGACGTGGCTGCCCCTAAGCTAGAGGCAGACGTGACTCTACCCTCAGTGCAGGGCGACCTCAAGACCCCTGACCTGAGCATTCAGCTGCCGTCCGCCGAACTGGAGGTTAAGGCCGGCCAGGTGGGCGTGAAGCTGCCCGAGGGCCAGCTGCCAGATGCAGAGATGCCCGCACAGGCTGCCGCAGGTTACGGCCTCAAGGGCCACCTGCCCAAGGTAGAGATGCCTAGCCTCAAGATGCCCAAGGTGGACCTGAAGGGCCCCCACGTGGACCTGAAGGCTCCCAAATTTGACGTGAAGGGCCCCAAGGGTGAGCTGAGCGGCCCAGACGTGGAGGGGTCGATGCCCGGCGTCGCCGTGGACATCCAGGTCCTTGGAGCAAAGCCGGAGGGGGACCTTGACTTGGCCGACAAGGACGTGGCCGCCAAAGACAGCAAGTTCAAGATGCCCAAATTCAAGATGCCCTCTTTCGGGGTGTCCTCGCCTGGCAAGCCCTCCGTGGAGGCCTCCCTGGACGTGGCTGCCCCTAAGCTAGAGGCAGACGTGACTCTACCCTCAGTGCAGGGCGACCTCAAGACCCCTGACCTGAGCATTCAGCTGCCGTCTGCCGAACTGGAGGTAAAGGCCGGCCAGGTGGGCGTGAAGCTGCCCGAGGGCCAGCTGCCAGATGCAGAGCTGACCGCTCAGGCTGCTTCAGGATCGGGCCTCAAGGGCCACCTGCCCAAGGTGCAGATGCCCAGCCTAAAGATGCCCAAGGTGGACCTGAAGGGCCCCCACGTGGACCTGAAGGCTCCCAAATTTGACGTGAAGGGCCCCAAGGGTGAGCTGAGAGCCGCGGGCGTGGAGGTGTCCCAGCCGGGCATCGACGTGGACATCCATGCTTCTGGAACAAAGCTGGAGGGGGACCTCGGCCTGACCCTAACCGACAAGGACATAGCCGCCAAAGACAGCAAGTTCAAGATGCCCAAATTCAAGATGCCCTCTTTCGGGGTGTCCTCGCCTGGCAAGCCCTCCGTGGAGGCCTCCCTGGACGTGGCTGCCCCTAAGCTAGAGGCAGACGTGACTCTACCCTCAGTGCAGGGCGACCTCAAGACCCCTGACCTGAGCATTCAGCTGCCGTCCGCCGAACTGGAGGTTAAGGCCGGCCAGGTGGGCGTGAAGCTGCCCGAGGGCCAGCTGCCAGATGCAGAGATGCCCGCACAGGCTGCCGCAGGTTACGGCCTCAAGGGCCACCTGCCCAAGGTAGAGATGCCTAGCCTCAAGATGCCCAAGGTGGACCTGAAGGGCCCCCACGTGGACCTGAAGGCTCCCAAATTTGACGTGAAGGGCCCCAAGGGTGAGCTGAGCGGCCCAGACATGGAGGGGTCGATGCCCGGCGTCGCCGTGGACATCCAGGTCCTTGGAGCAAAGCCGGAGGGGGACCTTGACTTGGCCGACAAGGACGTGGCCGCCAAAGACAGCAAGTTCAAGATGCCCAAATTCAAGATGCCCTCTTTCGGGGTGTCCTCGCCTGGCAAGCCCTCCGTGGAGGCCTCCCTGGACGTGGCTGCCCCTAAGCTAGAGGAAGACGTGACTCTACCCTCAGTGCAGGGCGACCTCAAGACCCCTGACCTGAGCATTCAGCTGCCGTCCGCCGAACTGGAGGTAAAGGCCGGCCAGGTGGGCGTGAAGCTGCCCGAGGGCCAGCTGCCAGATGCAGAGCTGACCGCTCAGGCTGCTTCAGGATCGGGCCTCAAGGGCCACCTGCCCAAGGTGCAGATGCCCAGCCTAAAGATGCCCAAGGTGGACCTGAAGGGCCCCCACGTGGACCTGAAGGCTCCCAAATTTGACGTGAAGGGCCCCAAGGGTGATATAAGAGCCCCGGGCGTGGAGGTGTCCCAGCCGGGCATCGACGTGGACATCCAGGCTTCTGGAGCAAAGCCGGAGGGGGACCTCGGCCTGACCCTAACCGACAAGGACGTAGCCGCCAAAGACAGCAAGTTCAAGATGCCCAAATTCAAGATGCCCTCTTTCGGGGTGTCCTCGCCTGGCAAGCCCTCCGTGGAGGCCTCCCTGGACGTGGCTGCCCCTAAGCTAGAGGCAGACGTGACTCTACCCTCAGTGCAGGGCGACCTCAAGACCCCCTGACCTGAGCATTCAGCTGCCGTCCGCCGAACTGGAGGTTAAGGCCGGCCAGGTGGGCGTGAAGCTGCCCGAGGGCCAGCTGCCAGATGCAGAGATGCCCGCACAGGCTGCCGCAGGTTACGGCCTCAAGGGCCACCTGCCCAAGGTAGAGATGCCTAGCCTCAAGATGCCCAAGGTGGACCTGAAGGGCCCCCACGTGGACCTGAAGGCTCCCAAATTTGACGTGAAGGGCCCCAAGGGTGAGCTGAGAGCCGCGGGCGTGGAGGTGTCCCAGCCGGGCATCGACGTGGACATCCAGGCTTCTGGAACAAAGCTGGAGGGGGACCTCGGCCTGACCCTAACCGACAAGGACGTAGCCGCCAAAGACAGCAAGTTCAAGATGCCCAAATTCAAGATGCCCTCTTTCGGGGTGTCCTCGCCTGGCAAGCCCTCCGTGGAGGCCTCCCTGGACGTGGCTGCCCCTAAGCTAGAGGCTGACGTGACTCTAACCTCAGTGCAGGGCGACCTCAAGACCCCTGACCTGAGCATTCAGCTGCCGTCTGCCGAACTGGAGGTTAAAGCCGGCCAGGTGGGCGTGAAGCTGCCCGAGGGCCAGCTGCCAGATGCAGAGATGCCCGCACAGGCTGCCGCAGGTTACGGCCTCAAGGGCCACCTGCCCAAGGTAGAGATGCCTAGCCTCAAGATGCCCAAGGTGGACCTGAAGGGCCCCCACGTGGACCTGAAGGCTCCCAAATTTGACGTGAAGGGCCCCAAGGGTGAGCTGAGCGGCCCAGACGTGGAGGGGTCGATGCCCGGCGTCGCCGTGGACATCCAGGTCCTTGGAGCAAAGCCGGAGGGGGACCTTGACTTGGCCGACAAGGACGTGGCCGCCAAAGACAGCAAGTTCAAGATGCCCAAATTCAAGATGCCCTCTTTCGGGGTGTCCTCGCCTGGCAAGCCCTCCGTGGAGGCCTCCCTGGACGTGGCTGCCCCTAAGCTAGAGGCAGACGTGACTCTACCCTCAGTGCAGGGCGACCTCAAGACCCCTGACCTGAGCATTCAGCTGCCGTCCGCCGAACTGGAGGTAAAGGCCGGCCAGGTGGGCGTGAAGCTGCCCGAGGGCCAGCTGCCAGATGCAGAGCTGACCGCTCAGGCTGCTTCAGGATCGGGCCTCAAGGGCCACCTGCCCAAGGTAGAGATGCCTAGCCTCAAGATGCCCAAGGTGGACCTGAAGGGCCCCCACGTGGACCTGAAGGCTCCCAAATTTGACGTGAAGGGCCCCAAGGGTGAGCTGAGCGGCCCAGACGTGGAGGGGTCGATGCCCGGCGTCGCCGTGGACATCCAGGTCCTTGGAGCAAAACCGGAGGGGGACCTTGACTTGGCCGACAAGGACGTAGCCGCCAAAGACAGCAAGTTCAAGATGCCCAAATTCAAGATGCCCTCTTTCGGGGTGTCCTCGCCTGGCAAGCCCTCCGTGGAGGCCTCCCTGGTCGTGGCTGCCCCTAAGCTAGAGGCAGACGTGACTCTACCCTCAGTGCAGGGCGACCTCAAGACCCCTGACCTGAGCATTCAGCTGCCGTCCGCCGAACTGGAGGTAAAGGCCGGCCAGGTGGGCGTGAAGCTGCCCGAGGGCCAGCTGCCAGATGCAGAGCTGACCGCTCAGGCCGCTTCAGGATCGGGCCTCAAGGGCCACCTGCCCAAGGTGCAGATGCCCAGCCTAAAGATGCCCAAGGTGGACCTGAAGGGCCCCCACGTGGACCTGAAGGCTCCCAAATTTGACGTGAAGGGCCCCAAGGGTGAGCTGAGAGCCCCGGGCGTGGAGGTGTCCCAGCCGGGCATCGACGTGGACATCCAGGCTTCTGGAACAAAGCTGGAGGGGGACCTCGGCCTGACCCTAACCGACAAGGACGTAGCCGCCAAAGACAGCAAGTTCAAGATGCCCAAATTCAAGATGCCCTCTTTCGGGGTGTCCTCGCCTGGCAAGCCCTCCGTGGAGGCCTCCCTGGACGTGGCTGCACCTAAGCTAGAGGCAGACGTGACTCTACCCTCAGTGCAGGGCGACCTCAAGACCCCTGACCTGAGCATTCAGCTGCCGTCCGCCGAACTGGAGGTAAAGGCCGGCCAGGTGGGCGTGAAGCTGCCCGAGGGCCAGCTGCCAGATGCAGAGCTGACCGCTCAGGCCGCTTCAGGATCGGGCCTCAAGGGCCACCTGCCCAAGGTGCAGATGCCCAGCCTAAAGATGCCCAAGGTGGACCTGAAGGGCCCCCACGTGGACCTGAAGGCTCCCAAATTTGACGTGAAGGGCCCCAAGGGTGATATGAGAGCCCCGGGCGTGGAGGTGTCCCAGCCGGGCATCGACGTGGACATCCAGGCTTCTGGAACAAAGCTGGAGGGGGACCTCGGCCTGACCCTAACCGACAAGGACGTAGCCGCCAAAGACAGCAAGTTCAAGATGCCCAAATTCAAGATGCCCTCTTTCGGGGTGTCCTCGCCTGGCAAGCCCTCCGTGGAGGCCTCCCTGGACGTGGCTGCCCCTAAGCTAGAGGCAGACGTGACTCTACCCTCAGTGCAGGGAGACCTCAAGACCCCTGACCTGAGCATTCAGCTGCCGTCCGCCGAACTGGAGGTAAAGGCCGGCCAGGTGGGCGTGAAGCTGCCCGAGGGCCAGCTGCCAGATGCAGAGCTGACCGCTCAGGCTGCTTCAGGATCGGGCCTCAAGGGCCACCTGCCCAAGGTAGAGATGCCTAGCCTCAAGATGCCCAAGGTGGACCTGAAGGGCCCCCACGTGGACCTGAAGGCTCCCAAATTTGACGTGAAGGGCCCCAAGGGTGAGCTGAGCGGCCCAGACGTGGAGGGGTCGATGCCCGGCGTCGCCGTGGACATCCAGGTCCTTGGAGCAAAGCCGGAGGGGGACCTTGACTTGGCCGACAAGGACGTGGCCGCCAAAGACAGCAAGTTCAAGATGCCCAAATTCAAGATGCCCTCTTTCGGGGTGTCCTCGCCTGGCAAGCCCTCCGCGGAGGCCTCCCTGGACGTGGCTGCCCCTAAGCTAGAGGCAGACGTGACTCTACCCTCAGTGCAGGGCGACCTCAAGACCCCTGACCTGAGCATTCAGCTGCCGTCCGCCGAACTGGAGGTAAAGGCCGGCCAGGTGGGCGTGAAGCTGCCCGAGGGCCAGCTGCCAGATGCAGAGCTGACCGCTCAGGCTGCTTCAGGATCGGACCTCAAGGGCCACCTGCCCAAGGTGCAGATGCCCAGCCTAAAGATGCCCAAGGTGGACCTGAAGGGCCCCCACGTGGACCTGAAGGCTCCCAAATTTGACGTGAAGGGCCCCAAGGGTGAGCTGAGAGCCGCGGGCGTGGAGGTGTCCCAGCCGGGCATCGACGTGGACATCCAGGTCCTTGGAGCAAAGCTGGAGGGGGACCTCGGCCTGACCCTAACCGACAAGGACGTAGCCGCCAAAGACAGCAAGTTCAAGATGCCCAAATTCAAGATGCCCTCTTTCGGGGTGTCCTCGCCTGGCAAGCCCTCCGTGGAGGCCTCCCTGGACGTGGCTGCCCCTAAGCTAGAGGCAGACGTGACTCTACCCTCAGTGCAGGGCGACCTCAAGACCCCTGACCTGAGCATTCAGCTGCCGTCCGCCGAACTGGAGGTTAAGGCCGGCCAGGTGGGCGTGAAGCTGCCCGAGGGCCAGCTGCCAGATGCAGAGCTGACCGCTCAGGCTGCCGCAGGTTACGGCCTCAAGGGCCACCTGCCCAAGGTAGAGATGCCTAGCCTCAAGATGCCCAAGGTGGACCTGAAGGGCCCCCACGTGGACCTGAAGGCTCCCAAATTTGACGTGAAGGGCCCCAAGGGTGAGCTGAGCGGCCCAGACGTGGAGGGGTCGATGCCCGGCGTCGCCGTGGACATCCAGGTCCTTGGAGCAAAGCCGGAGGGGGACCTTGACTTGGCCGACAAGGACGTGGCCGCCAAAGACAGCAAGTTCAAGATGCCCAAATTCAAGATGCCCTCTTTCGGGGTGTCCTCGCCTGGCAAGCCCTCCGTGGAGGCCTCCCTGGACGTGGCTGCCCCTAAGCTAGAGGCAGACGTGACTCTACCCTCAGTGCAGGGCGACCTCAAGACCCCTGACCTGAGCATTCAGCTGCCGTCCGCCGAACTGGAGGTAAAGGCCGGCCAGGTGGGCGTGAAGCTGCCCGAGGGCCAGCTGCCAGATGCAGAGCTGACCGCTCAGGCTGCTTCAGGATCGGGCCTCAAGGGCCACCTGCCCAAGGTAGAGATGCCTAGCCTCAAGATGCCCAAGGTGGACCTGAAGGGCCCCCACGTGGACCTGAAGGCTCCCAAATTTGACGTGAAGGGCCCCAAGGGTGAGCTGAGCGGCCCAGACGTGGAGGGGTCGATGCCCGGCGTCGCCGTGGACATCCAGGTCCTTGGAGCAAAACCGGAGGGGGACCTTGACTTGGCCGACAAGGACGTGGCCGCCAAAGACAGCAAGTTCAAGATGCCCAAATTCAAGATGCCCTCTTTCGGGGTGTCCTCGCCTGGCAAGCCCTCCGTGGAGGCCTCCCTGGTCGTGGCTGCCCCTAAGCTAGAGGCAGACGTGACTCTACCCTCAGTGCAGGGCGACCTCAAGACCCCTGACCTGACCATTCAGCTGCCGTCCGCCGAACTGGAGGTAAAGGCCGGCCAGGTGGGCGTGAAGCTGCCCGAGGGCCAGCTGCCAGATGCAGAGCTGACCGCTCAGGCTGCTTCAGGATCGGGCCTCAAGGGCCACCTGCCCAAGGTGCAGATGCCCAGCCTAAAGATGCCCAAGGTGGACCTGAAGGGCCCCCACGTGGACCTGAAGGCTCCCAAATTTGACGTGAAGGGCCCCAAGGGTGAGCTGAGAGCCCCGGGCGTGGAGGTGTCCCAGCCGGGCATCGACGTGGACATCCAGGCTTCTGGAACAAAGCTGGAGGGGGGACCTCGGCCTGACCCTAACCGACAAGGACGTAGCCGCCAAAGACAGCAAGTTCAAGATGCCCAAATTCAAGATGCCCTCTTTCGGGGTGTCCTCGCCTGGCAAGCCCTCCGTGGAGGCCTCCCTGGACGTGGCTGCCCCTAAGCTAGAGGCAGACGTGACTCTACCCTCAGTGCAGGGCGACCTCAAGACCCCTGACCTGAGCATTCAGCTGCCGTCCGCCGAACTGGAGGTAAAGGCCGGCCAGGTGGGCGTGAAGCTGCCCGAGGGCCAGCTGCCAGATGCAGAGCTGACCGCTCAGGCCGCTTCAGGATCGGGCCTCAAGGGCCACCTGCCCAAGGTGCAGATGCCCAGCCTAAAGATGCCCAAGGTGGACCTGAAGGGCCCCCACGTGGACCTGAAGGCTCCCAAATTTGACGTGAAGGGCCCCAAGGGTGATATGAGAGCCCCGGGCGTGGAGGTGTCCCAGCCGGGCATCGACGTGGACATCCAGGCTTCTGGAACAAAGCTGGAGGGGGACCTCGGCCTGACCCTAACCGACAAGGACGTAGCCGCCAAAGACAGCAAGTTCAAGATGCCCAAATTCAAGATGCCCTCTTTCGGGGTGTCCTCGCCTGGCAAGCCCTCCGTGGAGGCCTCCCTGGACGTGGCTGCCCCTAAGCTAGAGGCAGACGTGACTCTACCCTCAGTGCAGGGAGACCTCAAGACCCCTGACCTGAGCATTCAGCTGCCGTCCGCCGAACTGGAGGTAAAGGCCGGCCAGGTGGGCGTGAAGCTGCCCGAGGGCCAGCTGCCAGATGCAGAGCTGACCGCTCAGGCTGCTTCAGGATCGGGCCTCAAGGGCCACCTGCCCAAGGTAGAGATGCCTAGCCTCAAGATGCCCAAGGTGGACCTGAAGGGCCCCCACGTGGACCTGAAGGCTCCCAAATTTGACGTGAAGGGCCCCAAGGGTGAGCTGAGCGGCCCAGACGTGGAGGGGTCGATGCCCGGCGTCGCCGTGGACATCCAGGTCCTTGGAGCAAAGCCGGAGGGGGACCTTGACTTGGCCGACAAGGACGTGGCCGCCAAAGACAGCAAGTTCAAGATGCCCAAATTCAAGATGCCCTCTTTCGGGGTGTCCTCGCCTGGCAAGCCCTCCGTGGAGGCCTCCCTGGACGTGGCTGCCCCTAAGCTAGAGGCAGACGTGACTCTACCCTCAGTGCAGGGCGACCTCAAGACCCCTGACCTGAGCATTCAGCTGCCGTCCGCCGAACTGGAGGTAAAGGCCGGCCAGGTGGGCGTGAAGCTGCCCGAGGGCCAGCTGCCAGATGCAGAGCTGACCGCTCAGGCTGCTTCAGGATCGGGCCTCAAGGGCCACCTGCCCAAGGTGCAGATGCCCAGCCTAAAGATGCCCAAGGTGGACCTGAAGGGCCCCCACGTGGACCTGAAGGCTCCCAAATTTGACGTGAAGGGCCCCAAGGGTGAGCTGAGAGCCGCGGGCGTGGAGGTGTCCCAGCCGGGCATCGACGTGGACATCCATGCTTCTGGAACAAAGCTGGAGGGGGACCTCGGCCTGACCCTAACCGACAAGGACATAGCCGCCAAAGACAGCAAGTTCAAGATGCCCAAATTCAAGATGCCCTCTTTCGGGGTGTCCTCGCCTGGCAAGCCCTCCGTGGAGGCCTCCCTGGACGTGGCTGCCCCTAAGCTAGAGGCAGACGTGACTCTACCCTCAGTGCAGGGCGACCTCAAGACCCCTGACCTGAGCATTCAGCTGCCGTCCGCCGAACTGGAGGTTAAGGCCGGCCAGGTGGGCGTGAAGCTGCCCGAGGGCCAGCTGCCAGATGCAGAGATGCCCGCACAGGCTGCCGCAGGTTACGGCCTCAAGGGCCACCTGCCCAAGGTAGAGATGCCTAGCCTCAAGATGCCCAAGGTGGACCTGAAGGGCCCCCACGTGGACCTGAAGGCTCCCAAATTTGACGTGAAGGGCCCCAAGGGTGAGCTGAGCGGCCCAGACGTGGAGGGGTCGATGCCCGGCGTCGCCGTGGACATCCAGGTCCTTGGAGCAAAGCCGGAGGGGGACCTTGACTTGGCCGACAAGGACGTGGCCGCCAAAGACAGCAAGTTCAAGATGCCCAAATTCAAGATGCCCTCTTTCGGGGTGTCCTCGCCTGGCAAGCCCTCCGTGGAGGCCTCCCTGGACGTGGCTGCCCCTAAGCTAGAGGCAGACGTGACTCTACCCTCAGTGCAGGGCGACCTCAAGACCCCTGACCTGAGCATTCAGCTGCCGTCCGCCGAACTGGAGGTAAAGGCCGGCCAGGTGGGCGTGAAGCTGCCCGAGGGCCAGCTGCCAGATGCAGAGCTGACCGCTCAGGCTGCTTCAGGATCGGGCCTCAAGGGCCACCTGCCCAAGGTGCAGATGCCCAGCCTAAAGATGCCCAAGGTGGACCTGAAGGGCCCCCACGTGGACCTGAAGGCTCCCAAATTTGACGTGAAGGGCCCCAAGGGTGATATAAGAGCCCCGGGCGTGGAGGTGTCCCAGCCGGGCATCGACGTGGACATCCAGGCTTCTGGAGCAAAGCCGGAGGGGGACCTCGGCCTGACCCTAACCGACAAGGACGTAGCCGCCAAAGACAGCAAGTTCAAGATGCCCAAATTCAAGATGCCCTCTTTCGGGGTGTCCTCGCCTGGCAAGCCCTCCGTGGAGGCCTCCCTGGACGTGGCTGCCCCTAAGCTAGAGGCAGACGTGACTCTACCCTCAGTGCAGGGCGACCTCAAGATCCCTGACCTGAGCATTCAGCTGCCGTCCGCCGAACTGGAGGTTAAGGCCGGCCAGGTGGGCGTGAAGCTGCCCGAGGGCCAGCTGCCAGATGCAGAGATGCCCGCACAGGCTGCCGCAGGTTACGGCCTCAAGGGCCACCTGCCCAAGGTAGAGATGCCTAGCCTCAAGATGCCCAAGGTGGACCTGAAGGGCCCCCACGTGGACCTGAAGGCTCCCCAAATTTGACGTGAAGGGCCCCAAGGGTGAGCTGAGAGCCGCGGGCGTGGAGGTGTCCCAGCCGGGCATCGACGTGGACATCCAGGCTTCTGGAACAAAGCTGGAGGGGGACCTCGGCCTGACCCTAACCGACAAGGACGTAGCCGCCAAAGACAGCAAGTTCAAGATGCCCAAATTCAAGATGCCCTCTTTCGGGGTGTCCTCGCCTGGCAAGCCCTCCGTGGAGGCCTCCCTGGACGTGGCTGCCCCTAAGCTAGAGGCTGACGTGACTCTAACCTCAGTGCAGGGCGACCTCAAGACCCCTGACCTGAGCATTCAGCTGCCGTCTGCCGAACTGGAGGTTAAGGCCGGCCAGGTGGGCGTGAAGCTGCCCGAGGGCCAGCTGCCAGATGCAGAGATGCCCGCACAGGCTGCCGCAGGTTACGGCCTCAAGGGCCACCTGCCCAAGGTAGAGATGCCTAGCCTCAAGATGCCCAAGGTGGACCTGAAGGGCCCCCACGTGGACCTGAAGGCTCCCAAATTTGACGTGAAGGGCCCCAAGGGTGAGCTGAGCGGCCCAGACGTGGAGGGGTCGATGCCCGGCGTCGCCGTGGACATCCAGGTCCTTGGAGCAAAGCCGGAGGGGGACCTTGACTTGGCCGACAAGGACGTGGCCGCCAAAGACAGCAAGTTCAAGATGCCCAAATTCAAGATGCCCTCTTTCGGGGTGTCCTCGCCTGGCAAGCCCTCCGTGGAGGCCTCCCTGGACGTGGCTGCCCCTAAGCTAGAGGCAGACGTGACTCTACCCTCAGTGCAGGGCGACCTCAAGACCCCTGACCTGAGCATTCAGCTGCCGTCCGCCGAACTGGAGGTAAAGGCCGGCCAGGTGGGCGTGAAGCTGCCCGAGGGCCAGCTGCCAGATGCAGAGCTGACCGCTCAGGCTGCTTCAGGATCGGGCCTCAAGGGCCACCTGCCCAAGGTAGAGATGCCTAGCCTCAAGATGCCCAAGGTGGACCTGAAGGGCCCCCACGTGGACCTGAAGGCTCCCAAATTTGACGTGAAGGGCCCCAAGGGTGAGCTGAGCGGCCCAGACGTGGAGGGGTCGATGCCCGGCGTCGCCGTGGACATCCAGGTCCTTGGAGCAAAACCGGAGGGGGACCTTGACTTGGCCGACAAGGACGTAGCCGCCAAAGACAGCAAGTTCAAGATGCCCAAATTCAAGATGCCCTCTTTCGGGGTGTCCTCGCCTGGCAAGCCCTCCGTGGAGGCCTCCCTGGTCGTGGCTGCCCCTAAGCTAGAGGCAGACGTGACTCTACCCTCAGTGCAGGGCGACCTCAAGACCCCTGACCTGAGCATTCAGCTGCCGTCCGCCGAACTGGAGGTAAAGGCCGGCCAGGTGGGCGTGAAGCTGCCCGAGGGCCAGCTGCCAGATGCAGAGCTGACCGCTCAGGCCGCTTCAGGATCGGGCCTCAAGGGCCACCTGCCCAAGGTGCAGATGCCCAGCCTAAAGATGCCCAAGGTGGACCTGAAGGGCCCCCACGTGGACCTGAAGGCTCCCAAATTTGACGTGAAGGGCCCCAAGGGTGAGCTGAGAGCCCCGGGCGTGGAGGTGTCCCAGCCGGGCATCGACGTGGACATCCAGGCTTCTGGAACAAAGCTGGAGGGGGACCTCGGCCTGACCCTAACCGACAAGGACGTAGCCGCCAAAGACAGCAAGTTCAAGATGCCCAAATTCAAGATGCCCTCTTTCGGGGTGTCCTCGCCTGGCAAGCCCTCCGTGGAGGCCTCCCTGGACGTGGCTGCCCCTAAGCTAGAGGCAGACGTGACTCTACCCTCAGTGCAGGGCGACCTCAAGACCCCTGACCTGAGCATTCAGCTGCCGTCCGCCGAACTGGAGGTAAAGGCCGGCCAGGTGGGCGTGAAGCTGCCCGAGGGCCAGCTGCCAGATGCAGAGCTGACCGCTCAGGCCGCTTCAGGATCGGGCCTCAAGGGCCACCTGCCCAAGGTGCAGATGCCCAGCCTAAAGATGCCCAAGGTGGACCTGAAGGGCCCCCACGTGGACCTGAAGGCTCCCAAATTTGACGTGAAGGGCCCCAAGGGTGATATGAGAGCCCCGGGCGTGGAGGTGTCCCAGCCGGGCATCGACGTGGACATCCAGGCTTCTGGAACAAAGCTGGAGGGGGACCTCGGCCTGACCCTAACCGACAAGGACGTAGCCGCCAAAGACAGCAAGTTCAAGATGCCCAAATTCAAGATGCCCTCTTTCGGGGTGTCCTCGCCTGGCAAGCCCTCCGTGGAGGCCTCCCTGGACGTGGCTGCCCCTAAGCTAGAGGCAGACGTGACTCTACCCTCAGTGCAGGGAGACCTCAAGACCCCTGACCTGAGCATTCAGCTGCCGTCCGCCGAACTGGAGGTAAAGGCCGGCCAGGTGGGCGTGAAGCTGCCCGAGGGCCAGCTGCCAGATGCAGAGCTGACCGCTCAGGCTGCTTCAGGATCGGGCCTCAAGGGCCACCTGCCCAAGGTAGAGATGCCTAGCCTCAAGATGCCCAAGGTGGACCTGAAGGGCCCCCACGTGGACCTGAAGGCTCCCAAATTTGACGTGAAGGGCCCCAAGGGTGAGCTGAGCGGCCCAGACGTGGAGGGGTCGATGCCCGGCGTCGCCGTGGACATCCAGGTCCTTGGAGCAAAGCCGGAGGGGGACCTTGACTTGGCCGACAAGGACGTGGCCGCCAAAGACAGCAAGTTCAAGATGCCCAAATTCAAGATGCCCTCTTTCGGGGTGTCCTCGCCTGGCAAGCCCTCCGCGGAGGCCTCCCTGGACGTGGCTGCCCCTAAGCTAGAGGCAGACGTGACTCTACCCTCAGTGCAGGGCGACCTCAAGACCCCTGACCTGAGCATTCAGCTGCCGTCCGCCGAACTGGAGGTAAAGGCCGGCCAGGTGGGCGTGAAGCTGCCCGAGGGCCAGCTGCCAGATGCAGAGCTGACCGCTCAGGCTGCTTCAGGATCGGACCTCAAGGGCCACCTGCCCAAGGTGCAGATGCCCAGCCTAAAGATGCCCAAGGTGGACCTGAAGGGCCCCCACGTGGACCTGAAGGCTCCCAAATTTGACGTGAAGGGCCCCAAGGGTGAGCTGAGAGCCGCGGGCGTGGAGGTGTCCCAGCCGGGCATCGACGTGGACATCCAGGTCCTTGGAGCAAAGCTGGAGGGGGACCTCGGCCTGACCCTAACCGACAAGGACGTAGCCGCCAAAGACAGCAAGTTCAAGATGCCCAAATTCAAGATGCCCTCTTTCGGGGTGTCCTCGCCTGGCAAGCCCTCCGTGGAGGCCTCCCTGGACGTGGCTGCCCCTAAGCTAGAGGCAGACGTGACTCTACCCTCAGTGCAGGGCGACCTCAAGACCCCTGACCTGAGCATTCAGCTGCCGTCCGCCGAACTGGAGGTTAAGGCCGGCCAGGTGGGCGTGAAGCTGCCCGAGGGCCAGCTGCCAGATGCAGAGCTGACCGCTCAGGCTGCCGCAGGTTACGGCCTCAAGGGCCACCTGCCCAAGGTAGAGATGCCTAGCCTCAAGATGCCCAAGGTGGACCTGAAGGGCCCCCACGTGGACCTGAAGGCTCCCAAATTTGACGTGAAGGGCCCCAAGGGTGAGCTGAGCGGCCCAGACGTGGAGGGGTCGATGCCCGGCGTCGCCGTGGACATCCAGGTCCTTGGAGCAAAGCCGGAGGGGGGACCTTGACTTGGCCGACAAGGACGTGGCCGCCAAAGACAGCAAGTTCAAGATGCCCAAATTCAAGATGCCCTCTTTCGGGGTGTCCTCGCCTGGCAAGCCCTCCGTGGAGGCCTCCCTGGACGTGGCTGCCCCTAAGCTAGAGGCAGACGTGACTCTACCCTCAGTGCAGGGCGACCTCAAGACCCCTGACCTGAGCATTCAGCTGCCGTCCGCCGAACTGGAGGTAAAGGCCGGCCAGGTGGGCGTGAAGCTGCCCGAGGGCCAGCTGCCAGATGCAGAGCTGACCGCTCAGGCTGCTTCAGGATCGGGCCTCAAGGGCCACCTGCCCAAGGTAGAGATGCCTAGCCTCAAGATGCCCAAGGTGGACCTGAAGGGCCCCCACGTGGACCTGAAGGCTCCCAAATTTGACGTGAAGGGCCCCAAGGGTGAGCTGAGCGGCCCAGACGTGGAGGGGTCGATGCCCGGCGTCGCCGTGGACATCCAGGTCCTTGGAGCAAAACCGGAGGGGGACCTTGACTTGGCCGACAAGGACGTGGCCGCCAAAGACAGCAAGTTCAAGATGCCCAAATTCAAGATGCCCTCTTTCGGGGTGTCCTCGCCTGGCAAGCCCTCCGTGGAGGCCTCCCTGGTCGTGGCTGCCCCTAAGCTAGAGGCAGACGTGACTCTACCCTCAGTGCAGGGCGACCTCAAGACCCCTGACCTGACCATTCAGCTGCCGTCCGCCGAACTGGAGGTAAAGGCCGGCCAGGTGGGCGTGAAGCTGCCCGAGGGCCAGCTGCCAGATGCAGAGCTGACCGCTCAGGCTGCTTCAGGATCGGGCCTCAAGGGCCACCTGCCCAAGGTGCAGATGCCCAGCCTAAAGATGCCCAAGGTGGACCTGAAGGGCCCCCACGTGGACCTGAAGGCTCCCAAATTTGACGTGAAGGGCCCCAAGGGTGAGCTGAGAGCCCCGGGCGTGGAGGTGTCCCAGCCGGGCATCGACGTGGACATCCAGGCTTCTGGAACAAAGCTGGAGGGGGACCTCGGCCTGACCCTAACCGACAAGGACGTAGCCGCCAAAGACAGCAAGTTCAAGATGCCCAAATTCAAGATGCCCTCTTTCGGGGTGTCCTCGCCTGGCAAGCCCTCCGTGGAGGCCTCCCTGGACGTGGCTGCCCCTAAGCTAGAGGCAGACGTGACTCTACCCTCAGTGCAGGGCGACCTCAAGACCCCTGACCTGAGCATTCAGCTGCCGTCCGCCGAACTGGAGGTAAAGGCCGGCCAGGTGGGCGTGAAGCTGCCCGAGGGCCAGCTGCCAGATGCAGAGCTGACCGCTCAGGCCGCTTCAGGATCGGGCCTCAAGGGCCACCTGCCCAAGGTGCAGATGCCCAGCCTAAAGATGCCCAAGGTGGACCTGAAGGGCCCCCACGTGGACCTGAAGGCTCCCAAATTTGACGTGAAGGGCCCCAAGGGTGATATGAGAGCCCCGGGCGTGGAGGTGTCCCAGCCGGGCATCGACGTGGACATCCAGGCTTCTGGAACAAAGCTGGAGGGGGACCTCGGCCTGACCCTAACCGACAAGGACGTAGCCGCCAAAGACAGCAAGTTCAAGATGCCCAAATTCAAGATGCCCTCTTTCGGGGTGTCCTCGCCTGGCAAGCCCTCCGTGGAGGCCTCCCTGGACGTGGCTGCCCCTAAGCTAGAGGCAGACGTGACTCTACCCTCAGTGCAGGGAGACCTCAAGACCCCTGACCTGAGCATTCAGCTGCCGTCCGCCGAACTGGAGGTAAAGGCCGGCCAGGTGGGCGTGAAGCTGCCCGAGGGCCAGCTGCCAGATGCAGAGCTGACCGCTCAGGCTGCTTCAGGATCGGGCCTCAAGGGCCACCTGCCCAAGGTAGAGATGCCTAGCCTCAAGATGCCCAAGGTGGACCTGAAGGGCCCCCACGTGGACCTGAAGGCTCCCAAATTTGACGTGAAGGGCCCCAAGGGTGAGCTGAGCGGCCCAGACGTGGAGGGGTCGATGCCCGGCGTCGCCGTGGACATCCAGGTCCTTGGAGCAAAGCCGGAGGGGGACCTTGACTTGGCCGACAAGGACGTGGCCGCCAAAGACAGCAAGTTCAAGATGCCCAAATTCAAGATGCCCTCTTTCGGGGTGTCCTCGCCTGGCAAGCCCTCCGTGGAGGCCTCCCTGGACGTGGCTGCCCCTAAGCTAGAGGCAGACGTGACTCTACCCTCAGTGCAGGGCGACCTCAAGACCCCTGACCTGAGCATTCAGCTGCCGTCCGCCGAACTGGAGGTAAAGGCCGGCCAGGTGGGCGTGAAGCTGCCCGAGGGCCAGCTGCCAGATGCAGAGCTGACCGCTCAGGCTGCTTCAGGATCGGGCCTCAAGGGCCACCTGCCCAAGGTGCAGATGCCCAGCCTAAAGATGCCCAAGGTGGACCTGAAGGGCCCCCACGTGGACCTGAAGGCTCCCAAATTTGACGTGAAGGGCCCCAAGGGTGAGCTGAGAGCCGCGGGCGTGGAGGTGTCCCAGCCGGGCATCGACGTGGACATCCATGCTTCTGGAACAAAGCTGGAGGGGGACCTCGGCCTGACCCTAACCGACAAGGACATAGCCGCCAAAGACAGCAAGTTCAAGATGCCCAAATTCAAGATGCCCTCTTTCGGGGTGTCCTCGCCTGGCAAGCCCTCCGTGGAGGCCTCCCTGGACGTGGCTGCCCCTAAGCTAGAGGCAGACGTGACTCTACCCTCAGTGCAGGGCGACCTCAAGACCCCTGACCTGAGCATTCAGCTGCCGTCCGCCGAACTGGAGGTTAAGGCCGGCCAGGTGGGCGTGAAGCTGCCCGAGGGCCAGCTGCCAGATGCAGAGATGCCCGCACAGGCTGCCGCAGGTTACGGCCTCAAGGGCCACCTGCCCAAGGTAGAGATGCCTAGCCTCAAGATGCCCAAGGTGGACCTGAAGGGCCCCCACGTGGACCTGAAGGCTCCCAAATTTGACGTGAAGGGCCCCAAGGGTGAGCTGAGCGGCCCAGACGTGGAGGGGTCGATGCCCGGCGTCGCCGTGGACATCCAGGTCCTTGGAGCAAAGCCGGAGGGGGACCTTGACTTGGCCGACAAGGACGTGGCCGCCAAAGACAGCAAGTTCAAGATGCCCAAATTCAAGATGCCCTCTTTCGGGGTGTCCTCGCCTGGCAAGCCCTCCGTGGAGGCCTCCCTGGACGTGGCTGCCCCTAAGCTAGAGGCAGACGTGACTCTACCCTCAGTGCAGGGCGACCTCAAGACCCCTGACCTGAGCATTCAGCTGCCGTCCGCCGAACTGGAGGTAAAGGCCGGCCAGGTGGGCGTGAAGCTGCCCGAGGGCCAGCTGCCAGATGCAGAGCTGACCGCTCAGGCTGCTTCAGGATCGGGCCTCAAGGGCCACCTGCCCAAGGTGCAGATGCCCAGCCTAAAGATGCCCAAGGTGGACCTGAAGGGCCCCCACGTGGACCTGAAGGCTCCCAAATTTGACGTGAAGGGCCCCAAGGGTGATATAAGAGCCCCGGGCGTGGAGGTGTCCCAGCCGGGCATCGACGTGGACATCCAGGCTTCTGGAGCAAAGCCGGAGGGGGACCTCGGCCTGACCCTAACCGACAAGGACGTAGCCGCCAAAGACAGCAAGTTCAAGATGCCCAAATTCAAGATGCCCTCTTTCGGGGTGTCCTCGCCTGGCAAGCCCTCCGTGGAGGCCTCCCTGGACGTGGCTGCCCCTAAGCTAGAGGCAGACGTGACTCTACCCTCAGTGCAGGGCGACCTCAAGATCCCTGACCTGAGCATTCAGCTGCCGTCCGCCGAACTGGAGGTTAAGGCCGGCCAGGTGGGCGTGAAGCTGCCCGAGGGCCAGCTGCCAGATGCAGAGATGCCCGCACAGGCTGCCGCAGGTTACGGCCTCAAGGGCCACCTGCCCAAGGTAGAGATGCCTAGCCTCAAGATGCCCAAGGTGGACCTGAAGGGCCCCCACGTGGACCTGAAGGCTCCCAAATTTGACGTGAAGGGCCCCAAGGGTGAGCTGAGAGCCGCGGGCGTGGAGGTGTCCCAGCCGGGCATCGACGTGGACATCCAGGCTTCTGGAACAAAGCTGGAGGGGGACCTCGGCCTGACCCTAACCGACAAGGACGTAGCCGCCAAAGACAGCAAGTTCAAGATGCCCAAATTCAAGATGCCCTCTTTCGGGGTGTCCTCGCCTGGCAAGCCCTCCGTGGAGGCCTCCCTGGACGTGGCTGCCCCTAAGCTAGAGGCTGACGTGACTCTAACCTCAGTGCAGGGCGACCTCAAGACCCCTGACCTGAGCATTCAGCTGCCGTCTGCCGAACTGGAGGTTAAGGCCGGCCAGGTGGGCGTGAAGCTGCCCGAGGGCCAGCTGCCAGATGCAGAGATGCCCGCACAGGCTGCCGCAGGTTACGGCCTCAAGGGCCACCTGCCCAAGGTAGAGATGCCTAGCCTCAAGATGCCCAAGGTGGACCTGAAGGGCCCCCACGTGGACCTGAAGGCTCCCAAATTTGACGTGAAGGGCCCCAAGGGTGAGCTGAGCGGCCCAGACGTGGAGGGGTCGATGCCCGGCGTCGCCGTGGACATCCAGGTCCTTGGAGCAAAGCCGGAGGGGGACCTTGACTTGGCCGACAAGGACGTGGCCGCCAAAGACAGCAAGTTCAAGATGCCCAAATTCAAGATGCCCTCTTTCGGGGTGTCCTCGCCTGGCAAGCCCTCCGTGGAGGCCTCCCTGGACGTGGCTGCCCCTAAGCTAGAGGCAGACGTGACTCTACCCTCAGTGCAGGGCGACCTCAAGACCCCTGACCTGAGCATTCAGCTGCCGTCCGCCGAACTGGAGGTAAAGGCCGGCCAGGTGGGCGTGAAGCTGCCCGAGGGCCAGCTGCCAGATGCAGAGCTGACCGCTCAGGCTGCTTCAGGATCGGGCCTCAAGGGCCACCTGCCCAAGGTAGAGATGCCTAGCCTCAAGATGCCCAAGGTGGACCTGAAGGGCCCCCACGTGGACCTGAAGGCTCCCAAATTTGACGTGAAGGGCCCCAAGGGTGAGCTGAGCGGCCCAGACGTGGAGGGGTCGATGCCCGGCGTCGCCGTGGACATCCAGGTCCTTGGAGCAAAACCGGAGGGGGACCTTGACTTGGCCGACAAGGACGTAGCCGCCAAAGACAGCAAGTTCAAGATGCCCAAATTCAAGATGCCCTCTTTCGGGGTGTCCTCGCCTGGCAAGCCCTCCGTGGAGGCCTCCCTGGTCGTGGCTGCCCCTAAGCTAGAGGCAGACGTGACTCTACCCTCAGTGCAGGGCGACCTCAAGACCCCTGACCTGAGCATTCAGCTGCCGTCCGCCGAACTGGAGGTAAAGGCCGGCCAGGTGGGCGTGAAGCTGCCCGAGGGCCAGCTGCCAGATGCAGAGCTGACCGCTCAGGCCGCTTCAGGATCGGGCCTCAAGGGCCACCTGCCCAAGGTGCAGATGCCCAGCCTAAAGATGCCCAAGGTGGACCTGAAGGGCCCCCACGTGGACCTGAAGGCTCCCAAATTTGACGTGAAGGGCCCCAAGGGTGAGCTGAGAGCCCCGGGCGTGGAGGTGTCCCAGCCGGGCATCGACGTGGACATCCAGGCTTCTGGAACAAAGCTGGAGGGGGACCTCGGCCTGACCCTAACCGACAAGGACGTAGCCGCCAAAGACAGCAAGTTCAAGATGCCCAAATTCAAGATGCCCTCTTTCGGGGTGTCCTCGCCTGGCAAGCCCTCCGTGGAGGCCTCCCTGGACGTGGCTGCCCCTAAGCTAGAGGCAGACGTGACTCTACCCTCAGTGCAGGGCGACCTCAAGACCCCTGACCTGAGCATTCAGCTGCCGTCCGCCGAACTGGAGGTAAAGGCCGGCCAGGTGGGCGTGAAGCTGCCCGAGGGCCAGCTGCCAGATGCAGAGCTGACCGCTCAGGCCGCTTCAGGATCGGGCCTCAAGGGCCACCTGCCCAAGGTGCAGATGCCCAGCCTAAAGATGCCCAAGGTGGACCTGAAGGGCCCCCACGTGGACCTGAAGGCTCCCAAATTTGACGTGAAGGGCCCCAAGGGTGATATGAGAGCCCCGGGCGTGGAGGTGTCCCAGCCGGGCATCGACGTGGACATCCAGGCTTCTGGAACAAAGCTGGAGGGGGAGCTCGGCCTGACCCTAACCGACAAGGACGTAGCCGCCAAAGACAGCAAGTTCAAGATGCCCAAATTCAAGATGCCCTCTTTCGGGGTGTCCTCGCCTGGCAAGCCCTCCGTGGAGGCCTCCCTGGACGTGGCTGCCCCTAAGCTAGAGGCAGACGTGACTCTACCCTCAGTGCAGGGAGACCTCAAGACCCCTGACCTGAGCATTCAGCTGCCGTCCGCCGAACTGGAGGTAAAGGCCGGCCAGGTGGGCGTGAAGCTGCCCGAGGGCCAGCTGCCAGATGCAGAGCTGACCGCTCAGGCTGCTTCAGGATCGGGCCTCAAGGGCCACCTGCCCAAGGTAGAGATGCCTAGCCTCAAGATGCCCAAGGTGGACCTGAAGGGCCCCCACGTGGACCTGAAGGCTCCCAAATTTGACGTGAAGGGCCCCAAGGGTGAGCTGAGCGGCCCAGACGTGGAGGGGTCGATGCCCGGCGTCGCCGTGGACATCCAGGTCCTTGGAGCAAAGCCGGAGGGGGACCTTGACTTGGCCGACAAGGACGTGGCCGCCAAAGACAGCAAGTTCAAGATGCCCAAATTCAAGATGCCCTCTTTCGGGGTGTCCTCGCCTGGCAAGCCCTCCGCGGAGGCCTCCCTGGACGTGGCTGCCCCTAAGCTAGAGGCAGACGTGACTCTACCCTCAGTGCAGGGCGACCTCAAGACCCCTGACCTGAGCATTCAGCTGCCGTCCGCCGAACTGGAGGTAAAGGCCGGCCAGGTGGGCGTGAAGCTGCCCGAGGGCCAGCTGCCAGATGCAGAGCTGACCGCTCAGGCTGCTTCAGGATCGGACCTCAAGGGCCACCTGCCCAAGGTGCAGATGCCCAGCCTAAAGATGCCCAAGGTGGACCTGAAGGGCCCCCACGTGGACCTGAAGGCTCCCAAATTTGACGTGAAGGGCCCCAAGGGTGAGCTGAGAGCCGCGGGCGTGGAGGTGTCCCAGCCGGGCATCGACGTGGACATCCAGGTCCTTGGAGCAAAGCTGGAGGGGGACCTCGGCCTGACCCTAACCGACAAGGACGTAGCCGCCAAAGACAGCAAGTTCAAGATGCCCAAATTCAAGATGCCCTCTTTCGGGGTGTCCTCGCCTGGCAAGCCCTCCGTGGAGGCCTCCCTGGACGTGGCTGCCCCTAAGCTAGAGGCAGACGTGACTCTACCCTCAGTGCAGGGCGACCTCAAGACCCCTGACCTGAGCATTCAGCTGCCGTCCGCCGAACTGGAGGTTAAGGCCGGCCAGGTGGGCGTGAAGCTGCCCGAGGGCCAGCTGCCAGATGCAGAGCTGACCGCTCAGGCTGCCGCAGGTTACGGCCTCAAGGGCCACCTGCCCAAGGTAGAGATGCCTAGCCTCAAGATGCCCAAGGTGGACCTGAAGGGCCCCCACGTGGACCTGAAGGCTCCCAAATTTGACGTGAAGGGCCCCAAGGGTGAGCTGAGCGGCCCAGACGTGGAGGGGTCGATGCCCGGCGTCGCCGTGGACATCCAGGTCCTTGGAGCAAAGCCGGAGGGGGACCTTGACTTGGCCGACAAGGACGTGGCCGCCAAAGACAGCAAGTTCAAGATGCCCAAATTCAAGATGCCCTCTTTCGGGGTGTCCTCGCCTGGCAAGCCCTCCGTGGAGGCCTCCCTGGACGTGGCTGCCCCTAAGCTAGAGGCAGACGTGACTCTACCCTCAGTGCAGGGCGACCTCAAGACCCCTGACCTGAGCATTCAGCTGCCGTCCGCCGAACTGGAGGTAAAGGCCGGCCAGGTGGGCGTGAAGCTGCCCGAGGGCCAGCTGCCAGATGCAGAGCTGACCGCTCAGGCTGCTTCAGGATCGGGCCTCAAGGGCCACCTGCCCAAGGTAGAGATGCCTAGCCTCAAGATGCCCAAGGTGGACCTGAAGGGCCCCCACGTGGACCTGAAGGCTCCCAAATTTGACGTGAAGGGCCCCAAGGGTGAGCTGAGCGGCCCAGACGTGGAGGGGTCGATGCCCGGCGTCGCCGTGGACATCCAGGTCCTTGGAGCAAAACCGGAGGGGGACCTTGACTTGGCCGACAAGGACGTGGCCGCCAAAGACAGCAAGTTCAAGATGCCCAAATTCAAGATGCCCTCTTTCGGGGTGTCCTCGCCTGGCAAGCCCTCCGTGGAGGCCTCCCTGGTCGTGGCTGCCCCTAAGCTAGAGGCAGACGTGACTCTACCCTCAGTGCAGGGCGACCTCAAGACCCCTGACCTGACCATTCAGCTGCCGTCCGCCGAACTGGAGGTAAAGGCCGGCCAGGTGGGCGTGAAGCTGCCCGAGGGCCAGCTGCCAGATGCAGAGCTGACCGCTCAGGCCGCTTCAGGATCGGGCCTCAAGGGCCACCTGCCCAAGGTGCAGATGCCCAGCCTAAAGATGCCCAAGGTGGACCTGAAGGGCCCCCACGTGGACCTGAAGGCTCCCAAATTTGACGTGAAGGGCCCCAAGGGTGATATGAGAGCCCCGGGCGTGGAGGTGTCCCAGCCGGGCATCGACGTGGACATCCAGGCTTCTGGAACAAAGCTGGAGGGGGACCTCGGCCTGACCCTAACCGACAAGGACGTAGCCGCCAAAGACAGCAAGTTCAAGATGCCCAAATTCAAGATGCCCTCTTTCGGGGTGTCCTCGCCTGGCAAGCCCTCCGTGGAGGCCTCCCTGGACGTGGCTGCCCCTAAGCTAGAGGCTGACGTGACTCTACCCTCAGTGCAGGGAGACCTCAAGACCCCTGACCTGAGCATTCAGCTGCCGTCCGCCGAACTGGAGGTAAAGGCCGGCCAGGTGGGCGTGAAGCTGCCCGAGGGCCAGCTGCCAGATGCAGAGCTGACCGCTCAGGCTGCTTCAGGATCGGGCCTCAAGGGCCACCTGCCCAAGGTAGAGATTCCTAGCCTCAAGATGCCCAAGGTGGACCTGAAGGGCCCCCACGTGGACCTGAAGGCTCCCAAATTTGACGTGAAGGGCCCCAAGGGTGAGCTGAGCGGCCCAGACGTGGAGGGGTCGATGCCCGGCGTCGCCGTGGACATCCAGGTCCTTGGAGCAAAGCCGGAGGGGGACCTTGACTTGGCCGACAAGGACGTGGCCGCCAAAGACAGCAAGTTCAAGATGCCCAAATTCAAGATGCCCTCTTTCGGGGTGTCCTTGCCTGGCAAGCCCTCCGTGGAGGCCTCCCTGGACGTGGCTGCCCCTAAGCTAGAGGCAGACGTGACTCTACCCTCAGTGCAGGGCGACCTCAAGACCCCTGACCTGAGCATTCAGCTGCCGTCCGCCGAACTGGAGGTAAAGGCCGGCCAGGTGGGCGTGAAGCTGCCCGAGGGCCAGCTGCCAGATGCAGAGCTGACCGCTCAGGCTGCTTCAGGATCGGACCTCAAGGGCCACCTGCCCAAGGTGCAGATGCCCAGCCTAAAGATGCCCAAGGTGGACCTGAAGGGCCCCCACGTGGACCTGAAGGCTCCCAAATTTGACGTGAAGGGCCCCAAGGGTGAGCTGAGAGCCGCGGGCGTGGAGGTGTCCCAGCCGGGCATCGACGTGGACATCCAGGTCCTTGGAGCAAAGCTGGAGGGGGACCTCGGCCTGACCCTAACCGACAAGGACGTAGCCGCCAAAGACAGCAAGTTCAAGATGCCCAAATTCAAGATGCCCTCTTTCGGGGTGTCCTCGCCTGGCAAGCCCTCCGTGGAGGCCTCCCTGGACGTGGCTGCCCCTAAGCTAGAGGCAGACGTGACTCTACCCTCAGTGCAGGGCGACCTCAAGACCCCTGACCTGAGCATTCAGCTGCCGTCCGCCGAACTGGAGGTTAAGGCCGGCCAGGTGGGCGTGAAGCTGCCCGAGGGCCAGCTGCCAGATGCAGAGCTGACCGCTCAGGCTGCCGCAGGTTACGGCCTCAAGGGCCACCTGCCCAAGGTAGAGATGCCTAGCCTCAAGATGCCCAAGGTGGACCTGAAGGGCCCCCACGTGGACCTGAAGGCTCCCAAATTTGACGTGAAGGGCCCCAAGGGTGAGCTGAGCGGCCCAGACGTGGAGGGGTCGATGCCCGGCGTCGCCGTGGACATCCAGGTCCTTGGAGCAAAGCCGGAGGGGGACCTTGACTTGGCCGACAAGGACGTGGCCGCCAAAGACAGCAAGTTCAAGATGCCCAAATTCAAGATGCCCTCTTTCGGGGTGTCCTCGCCTGGCAAGCCCTCCGTGGAGGCCTCCCTGGACGTGGCTGCCCCTAAGCTAGAGGCAGACGTGACTCTACCCTCAGTGCAGGGCGACCTCAAGACCCCTGACCTGAGCATTCAGCTGCCGTCCGCCGAACTGGAGGTAAAGGCCGGCCAGGTGGGCGTGAAGCTGCCCGAGGGCCAGCTGCCAGATGCAGAGATGCCCGCACAGGCTGCAGCAGGTTACGGCCTCAAGGGCCAACTGCCCAAGGGAGAGATGCCCAGCCTCAAGATATGCAAGGGGGACCTGAAGGACACTAAGGTGGATGAGAAGTGCTCCAAAGGTGAGCTGATAGACCCTCAGTTGGCGGTATCCTCGCCTGATGTTGACGGCCTTTCTAATGCGGCTGTTGTTTCCTGCCCCTCATTTTCTTTTCCAATTACTTCTTCTAATGCTCGCATATTCTTTCCAAAGTTCCATAAACCAAAATTCGTAGTTTCTCTTCCTCCATCCTCTGTTCCATGTGACTTTTCCATGCCTGATCCTGTCCTTTGTCCTTCCCTCATTCCCCAAAGCGTGGGAGATTCTGTGTCCTCCGAGGTTGTGACTTCTGATCCCCCTGTTTCACGTGATTCTGAGAGAATCTCAAGCGAGTCCGCAAGTAGTTTTCAACTTGAAGCAACGGACCCGGAAGGAAAGGGAAGGTCCTTTAAATTGCCCGGCATCAAGCTACATCCATTTAATTTGTCTCCTAAGAAGCAGGCACGGTCCTCTGATGATTGTGAGTCCTTGCAGGTGGACCCTTTGCCTTCTTTAGCTCTGTCTGTGGTGGAAACAGATACTGCAGTTGGGGGTTCTCAGATGCATTCATCTGTGGAGAAGGAATCTGAGAAAGGCAGAAGCCGCAAGCTCAGTTTTTCCATGCCACGCCTTGGACTACCCAAGATCAAGGGTCCCAAGGGGAGACCCGGCATCCCACAGGGCGATGTGAAGCCTTCACTAGTGGGTACCACAGCTGGAGATGAGTTGGTATTTCTACAAACCACTGTCAGTGATACCCATGTTGGGGACCCTCTTTCAAAAGACGTCACTACTACAGAGCCCTGTATCAGCTCCCTCCCCATGACAGTAGAGGCTACTGGGTCCAAAGCTGATCTTCTGCCTTCCCAAGGGGTCCCGGATGTCAGAGTTGACAGCAAGAGTCATATGCTGGTGGGTGTGACTGCAAGCCAGTCACTTGGGAAACTCACAACACCTGCAATGGGAGACGTGCTACCATCCTGTACACAAGGGCATGACACCCCAGCCATGGAAAGCCCTGACATGGCTCCCGTAGCAAAAGAGATGTCAACAGACTCCCATGAGCGCTGGTTCAAAATGCCCAAGTTCCGAGTTCCTGGTTTCAGACGCTCCTCATCCAGGGAGCGAGATGGAACTGGGGAACAGGAAGCTACTCAGACGCCGACTCCAGTCATCGGCAAACGCTTAGAAGCAGAAGTCTCCCTGGGGTCCCCAGAGGAAGGGGCCCATGTGAGGAGCCCAGAGAGCCCTACATATGCCGATGTTGTAAAACGTGATCTCCATGGAACAGGTTCTATGCTGCACAGCTCCAGTGCTGCAATGCCCAGCCCTGAGTTAGGGACCCATGTGGCTAAAGAGTCCTTCTCTCTAGGGGTGTCTGGTGTGAGAGTCTCAGAAACGCAGCTTCCTCCAGAAGGAACAGGCAAGCAGCAGCATCCTGGGCCAGGAGGAGACATTCTTGCTGAGGTGGACGCTAGAATGGCGGACCTGCCTTCCCAGCCCCAAGGGCCTGTGAGACTGAAGGCTTCCCTCACTGATGCGCCATCCCACGTCTCTGTGGTGAGCACGCATCCGATCTGGGAGGGTTCCGTGTTGACTGTAACATTCCCCAAACTAAAGGTACCTAAGTTCTCCTTTGATGCTTCTGGCTCTGAGGCTGATGTATTCTTCCCTGTGGTGAGAGAGATGCAATGTGCAGAGGTTGGCATTGACAGTACCACGCATAAAGATGGCCCTGGGTTCTGGGAAGCCAGCCTTCTAAAGACAGGAGCTGAGGATCCCAGAGGGCCACCAGCAAGCCTTGAACAATCCTTGGAAGAATCCCCGATTTCTAAGGTCAGAGTGCACATTCAGGGGTCTCAAGCTGAGAGTCAAGACGTCACCATTTGGCACAGGGTGGAACGAGAGGGTGCTGGTTCCTCTGCATGCCAAGCCTTTTCGACTCAGATCGTGAGGGAGTCAGAGATTCCGGCTTCTGCAATTCAGACTCCTTCTTACGGGTTTTCTTTGCTGAAGGTGAAAATCCCAGAGCCCCCTGTGCAGGCTAGCGTGTACACAGAGATTCCCGACTCCCAGGCACAGGAGGACTTGGGTGGAGGTCCCATGCCAGGTGCTGCAGGGAGACACTCCATTTCTGGGGACATCCCACCTGATGCCGGCGAACCATTTGAGATGATTTCTTCCTGCGCTGACGTGCCACCGATGTCCCCCGTACCCGAGGTGCCTCCTGGGCCCCAGCTTGCAGACAACACCTCTGATGAGGAACCAGCAGAGATTCTTGAGTTTCCTGAGGACAGCCAGGAGGTAAAGACCCCTGAAGCGGCTACAAAACAGAAGCCAGACGGCAAGAAGGCCAGCCTGTTGTGGTCCTGGCTCCCAAGCATTGGGTTCTCCTCTGTGGGAGAGATGGATGCTGGTTCTGGAGACGCCACCCAAAGACCTGATCCTGTCCACATGCAGCCTGCAGCTCAGCTGGACCCCGAACTGCCCAGGAAGCAGGAGAAGGCCGGCTGGTTCCGGTTCCCCAAGTTAGGGTTCTCTTCACCTACCAAGAAGAGCAGAAGCAGCAAAGGTGAGGGGGGTCAGGCAGAGCCAAAATCCCAGGAAGAAACTGTCACCTTTTTTGATGCCCGAGAAAGCTTCTCTCCAGAGGAGGAGGAGGAGGAAGCCAAGCCTGGGGTGACAAGTGCCACGCCTGGTTCCAAAGCAATTGTGGCGTCCGCTGCAAGAACAGAACTAGCACTGTTGGAACAGGCTAGCGACACCGACACCGGTGACAGGTCTACACCCAGGCCTGCGGCCAAATGAGGTCCAGACCTCAGAGTCGGTGGGAGAGACAAGCAACCTAAGTGGGAAGTCTGGGGCTGGGCACTGCAAAAGCGCCACACCCCAGAATGCACGCTGTAGACCGTGATCCACGGGCCGGAAACCCAAGCAGAAGTGAATAGCACTCCTGCGTCACACCTCTCAACCTTCCCATTGCTTTCAAGCTTTGGAAGCGACGAGGGCCTCAGAACTGCCCCTGCCTGAGAGTTACTGCTGGAGAACTCTGTTGGCCTTTGTGGTGCAAGTCCCAAGAGGCTGCCCAATGCCAGGAGACAGGGTCGCCCCTGAAGCTGCCACGTCTGTGGGCAGCAGCAGCTTTTGCTGTCCTCTGCTGCCTCTTCATGCACTCGGCTTTCCTGTCAGCAGAGTGTGGTGTGTCCTGGGAAACCCCACTACCCTCTTGCTCATGGACCGTCTTCCTACGTTGACTGTTTCACTAATGGCAAGGCTTTGCGACGCTGACTATGGCAATGAGTTTGTGTGGCAGAAAGGTCTGACCTGCGGCTGAAGGCGCTCTGTGACAACTGTGGGTCACCCATTAGGGTGCAGACACGGGTTTGCCATTAGACTGTGGCATGTGTGTCTTTGTCTACCGGCCTGCCAGTGTGCGACTATCCCCCCCCCCCCCCCGGGTGTGTATAAGCCCTTTGCTCTGGCTCCTGAGCTCAAGTGCTGACTGCAGCTCACACAGTCACCTCCTACTGGGCAATAAAGGAAAGGATAAAAGCAGTGGTCCAGCCTGCCGAGGTCTTTTGTTCTAGGAGCCTCATTTACCCTCGCCCTTCTAAGCATTCTCCATCTCTACTGTGTGACTCCAGAAGCCAGAGCTGAGGTTGATTGACCTTAGAGTGGCTGCCCCTTCCCATGTGTTTGTCTACACCCGTGTCCAGGGACCTCAGTGGATACAAAGGAGGAAATCGGGGGCCCTGAGTTCACGATAGGGTACCCTTCCTTCCATCCAGTCCTCAGTGCTAGGATGGAGCCTGAGACACAGAGTAGGGACAACAGGGACCTGGAGGCTCAGCTGGGGGCTCTGCCCATCATCAGAAGCTGCTTTCACCCAAGAGGTTTCCAGCAGTCTGTAGTAAGTCCATATCTGTAGAGCCAGCCAGGTCAGGGTTTCACTGCAACCCCCAACTGCCTGCTGAAGCCCTGCTGGAAGTCATTGTTCCCAGGGGGCCGCTGGACCCTGGACCCTGCTCCCTCCTGACCCACACAGACAGGATGGCCGGGGGCCTGACTGAGCTACCCTGGAAGACTGGGCAAGGAGAGTGCTGGCCGCTCCCAAGGATGCCCTGAGAGGCCAGAAGGGTGGCAGCTGGCATATAATGGGGAGGGGCCAGGGAGAGCCCAGAGTGGTTGGGCTCTTCTTTCCATGTCCCCACGGATGGCCATGCAGTATGGGAGTGTTATCCAAGTTGAGACAGAACGTTCTGGAAAGCTGGTCAGTTGATCATTCTTGCCCAGAGTACCTAGCCTCCCTCTGGCCTGACTTACAAACATCAGCCAAACTTGATCTGTGCCCAATGGCACTATAGAGAGTGTCTGTCTAGCACACAGTTATGATCCCTGGCTTCTAAGGGTAGCAGTCCCGGCTGTCTGAGGTGAGCTTCTGCTCAAGGTTCCCCAGGGTTGCCATCAGATGTAAGCAGGGGCTGCGTCATCTTCAGATAGAAGGATAGGAGCCACTGAAGTTGCCATGATTGCTGTATGTCAGTTATCTGGGAGCTGGGTGAGCACAACAGGCCTCAGCTCTCCTGGAGCATGTCTGAGGGGGTTGGACAAGACTCCTTTCATGAGCACAGGGCTTAGCTGGAGCGATGGCATTTATGAAGCCTTTGGGGCGCCCTAGGGAATAAAGACGTTGCTGCCGGTGTGGGAACACTCAATGGGACACTTTGCTTATGAGGCAGCATTGCTGTTTGGGGGTACCCAACGAGGGACCCCCAGAGGAGTCCCTGATAGACATGGGCCTAGGGGTGAATTTATGTCCATTGTAGGTGAATTTATGTCCATTGTAGGTGAATTTATGTCCATTGTATGTACCCTGACATAGGGTACTTGCAGGCAGAATCCTTGCCTGGGCAGGAGGAGAGGCCTGTGTGTGCAGTCATGACAAAGAGTTTCATGCATGCACTCGGGAGACTGGCAGGAAACCAGGACCCATGCACAGTAGGAAAAGTTCCTGCTGTGGAAGCATGAGAACCTGAATTCAGATCTCTAGCACGGGGGTTTAACCAAGAGCCCTGTAATTCAATGCTGGGGAGGTAGAAGCAGTCCCGGGGCCTGTTGACAAGCTAGTCTAGCCTAGCCAGCAAGCCCTGGGTTCAGAGGGAGACCCTGTCTGAAAAACTGAAGTGGCAACCTATGGTCATTATACAGGCGTGGCACGTGGGCCCACACAAACATATGAATATGTACACACACCCCAAACGAGTCGGGGGAGGGGACAAATGACACAGAACTACTCTTGACCTGGGTCGGGCCTGCAAGCCAGTGGCAGGACTTTATTGGGGGTTGCAGCTGGACAGTCATAGCAACTCATCATGGTTAGGCCAGAGAGGGGCAGCTGGGTTCTGGGGTCACTTACGTGTAGTTGCTTTCTTTCCATATTGCTATGGGCCTTCCTCTGCTTTAGGCTGTCCTTAATTTAAAAGCTACCCAGAGCTCTATCAGCGGCCATTTGCCAGATGACAATCTCAGGCCCCCAAGTAACAGACTTTTGATTTCTCAGTCTCTGAGCCTGAGTGAATGGAAGCCTGGTGTCCACCTAGAGCAGCAGGCCAGAGTCTGAGGGGTCAAGCCTCAGCCCTGCCAGACACAGTCCTGGCTCGGGACCTGTTTGTCCAGGCCCATAGCGTAGCGGGAACTCCAGTCACGTTCGAACAATTGCCTCAGCTGCTCCTGCACCGGGGTCACACCTGGATGGGCATCAGGGTTCGTCTGACTGACAACCAGGCCTACACCAGAGGTGCTGCTAAAATAGTCCTCCGACCAGTTAGAGGTACCTAGAGAGAGAAAGACGGTTGTCCCCGAGACTATGCCCTCTGCGGTCCACCCTGTGCCGTGGCCCTCACCGCGGGCTGAGGGACAGCTCAGAACACTGACTACTCTGCTGTCATCGGACTGCTGTCAAGCAGCCCCTCACGTGACAGGCACGGTCAGCTCTTTACCAGTGTCCTGGGCTTCAGTGCTTAGGGCTTCGTGGCAAGCTGGGCTACTTGCACGATGCCTGGAACATTCGAGTGCACCTCCCTCACCCAGCCCTCTGTCCTCCTGAGCCCCATCTCAGCCACTCACCTATGTAGGCTGCCTTGTCTGTGACCATGAACTTGCTGTGGTTCACACGGCTGAATGGGATGTTGGAGTGATTGCCCACAGGCACGATGAAGACTCTCTTCCGGGAATAGGAGTGAGTTAGGTTGGGCAGGGTGGGGGCAGAACTTCCTTTTCCCCCAACCCACAAGATCAGCTTCTTACCACATCCACCCAGATGCCAGCCGAGGGGTTGCTGAAAGCCTGCAGGGACCTCAGATAAGTGAACATGTTGGGGTCTGTATTGAACCAGCAGCTGACCAGTAAGCGCACGTGCACACCCCTGTTGAAGGCCGCTGCCCGTAGTGCATTGTCCAGTGTGGGCCAGTACCTAGAAAGAGGGCATCAAGTGTTCTGCCTGGAACCAGCAGGAGTAGGGCTCTCAGCTGGAGGAAAACTGCCCAGGAGCCGCCAATCAGGAGGGCGGACCTCATCCAGACCCACCTGGCAGGACGAGTGAAGCACGTGGTCGGGAAGTACTCCATCACTGAGACGTAGACGAACTCGCGAGCATCCGCCACCACTCCTAGCACTGCATCCAGATCCCGGGTACGGCCATGGGGGCAGAGTGAGGGTGGGGAGGCCTGCAGTGGAGACGCATCTCTCAGAACATCGCCCCTAACTACCACCCTTGCAGCGGGCTCTTCCTGGGTTCATGACACTGCCGCACACACTACACACTCAGCAAGACCCTAAGAAATCCATGTGCTGAGAGGCATGGAGGCAGCCCAGGGGGCTGGCCTAACTGTCCCGCAGCCTGCCCTGCTTGGGAAGCAGATTACTCTCCAGTGGGCTCCGCACACATAAGTAGGCTTTGCGCCTTCTGCTGCAGCCCCTGCTCTGGACCAATCTCTGGGCCAGCTTGGGGACTGCTCTGCTCTGGCAGATTGCCTGCCTTCCCTCAGACAAAGAGTAATCAATGCTCGGGGGCTACCCTACCATCCCTAGAGCCCAGCCACTGCCTTGTGGCCCCCAAACTCCCTGAGAGCCCCAGGTCCTCAGGTCTGCCACCTCCCGGCACCCCAGTCCCACAGCTGGTGCTGGCCCAGCCTCCTGCCCTAGTGTGGAGTCTGCCTCCTGCAGCAGCCCCAGGGTTTGCCGACTTACCGAGAAGTAGGCTGTGGTGGGAACCCCATCAAAGAGACCCCGCAAGGGATGGAAGAAGTTGATATGGGACGAGAAGTTCGGAGGCCAGGTCTTGGGGAGGACAGCATGGGGAGTCCCTAGCACCCAGTAGGTCTGGAATGTTTTCTCAAGATCTTGAGCCAGTTGGCTGCAGTTGTAGATGATCGCACCCAGCTCCTTCACCTGCAGGGATCAGGGTCAGACGGGGAGAGCAAATACCCCCTGGGGCTGTGTGGGGGTCACCGGGGATGCAAAGCAGGGTGCAATCCCTGTTCAGCTGGCAGCCACTAGGCAGCATCAGCTCCAGGTGGGGTAGGGTACCAGGGTCCCTGTTTTCCTTAACACTGTTCCAGTGCTCAAGAGCAAATACAGTAGAAAATGTGTGAATACACAAAGGAAACAAAACCATTGTTAAAGCCGCACGCCTTTAATCCCAGCACTGGGGAGGCAAAGGCAGGCGGATCTCTGTGAGTTCGAGGCCAGACTGGTCTTCAAAGAGAGTTCCGGGACAGGCTCCAAACCTACAGAGAAACCCTGTCTCGAAAAAGCAAAACACAAACAAACAAAACAACAACAACAACAAATTGTTGAATTCAATCAAGTAGTAACTGCTGATGTTATGCTTATATCTACCATTTGTACTAACGTGTGTGTGTGTGTGTGTGTGTGTGTGTGTGTGTGTACGTGTGCACACATGTTGACATAGATTGGACCTCGGGATGTGCAGTTGCTAATCACGTACTGTTCTACTGAGCCACAACTCAAGCCTTTGGAATGCCTTCTAGAAAGTCTCAGGCTCTTCAATCTGCAATCGTGTGTGTGTGTGTGTGTGTGTGTGTGTGTGTGTGTGTGTGTACATGTGAGCAAGTGTGTCCAGGTACACATGCATGTGTGGAAGCCTGAAGACAACCTCAGGTTGTCATCCTTCCAGAAGTGTCCACCTTGTTATTATTATTTTATGAGCATGGCTATGTTTTGCCTACATGTGTGTCTGTGTGTGCCTGGTGCTTACAGAGGCCAGAAGAAGGCATCAGATCCCCGGAACTAGTTACAGTTTACTGTGAGTTACCATGCGGCTATTGGGAATCGAACCTCAGGCTTCTGGAAGATCAGTCAGTGCTCTTATCTGAGGAGCCATCTCTTCAGCTCTCCATCTTGTTTTTTGAGGCAAGGACTCTCCCTGGGACCTGGGGCTTGCTGGTAGGCGGTCTGGCCAGTGATCCCCAGGGATCCACCAGTCTCTACTTCCCCCTGCACTGGAACTACAAGTATTTGCTACCATACCCAGCTTTGTACATGGATTCTAGGGCTAGAACTCAGCCTCTTATGATTGAGCTGTCTCCCCAACACCAAGCTGTGCTTTTCCTGAGAGCATTGGCCTGAGTGTCTGCCCAAGTTCTTAAATGCAGTTCCAGGGCTGGAGTGCAAGATCATGTAAAATCTTATACCTGGTGGAACCAACTCTGTGAGGAGTCCCCACTATGGAGGCATGACAAAAGCAACATGTGACCCAAGCTTCTGTTTGCTAACTTCTCACAATACCAGCTTTGAGGACACAAACAGCCCTGGGGACAGAGAGCCTCCCATCCCCGGGTCTTAGAACCCACCTGCGTCAGGGACCGCCAGTCCATGTTGGCACTGCCCACGAAGACATGCCGCCCATCCACCACCCAGAATTTGGAGTGTAGGACACCTCTGGTAAACTGCCTCATGGGGACGTGTCGTATCTGGGCGCCTGTGATAGACAGACAGACAGAGCTGGCTCTTTAACTCTGGCTTCAGGGCAGCCTAACAGATGTACTTTTGAGTTCCCTCATTTACCCTCAGAACCACCATACTGCTCAAGGCTGTTGTGGGTGAGGAGACCAAGGTGCAGGCTGACTGTAGACGCCTCTAGGCAGTCCAGCTCCAGAGCTTTGGTGATGGTTATGCCTACTGCCTTGTGTTTTTCACTGTAGCCTCTACCCCAAGGCTTTATCTAAATCCCCCTTCTCTGGCCTGTGGGCCCTGGGCTCAAGTCCTCCAGGGTCCTAGCAGATAGAGAAACTTTTCCACACACCTTGCAACCCTGCTGGTCTTGGGCCTTGTCCCATAGTGCCAGCCACATGGTGCTGGAGAGCCCCGCGTGTAGACACCTACCGTGGGCAGCCAAGACCTGGAGGTCAGTGGATGTGTTGGCCAACGCTGGGCTGTGGGTGGCCACTGCCAGGGAGATGTTCCTGACCAGGAGCTGTTGAAACTTCTGTAGAAGGGCCTCTCCCTGTAAGGCCAGGCTAGCATGAGAAGCTGCCCCAGGCTAGTCCTCTGCCCACGGTCCAAGGTAGGCCAAGTCCTGTCCCATGACTAGAAGCCAAATAAATGACACCATGCACCGCCAAGTGCTCTATCAAAGTCCCTCTACCCCCAAAAGCTACTTGGGGTGGGGCTGGCTTTGCTGCTCTATGCCATCCCAAGCCCAGAGCTGAGCCCTGGGTTTGTCTGTGCTCCGTACCGACAGAAGCCTGACTTGAGTGCAAAAGACCAAACTAGAACGCAAAACCGAGGACCAACCGGCTGGGAAGATGAATCGTTGACTCCAACGTCGGGTCCAGTGAGGGACCAATAGTATGAGGCGACATGGACGCTCTCCTGAGCAGAGTCTAGAAGCTGCAGCCAAGCCTGGGCCAGGGGCTGGGCAGTAGGGCTTCCGGATGCAAATGGCAAGTCCTGGGGGACGCTTTCCACAAGGATGAGCCTGGGGACAGAACCAAAAAGGGGCCCAGGCATGACCCTGAGAGCCACTAGTCAGCTAGCTATTCACTGCCTTCCTGTGCCCGGCTGGAGGGACTGGCCTCAGCCAGCGCGCTGCACAGAGGGGACAGGGACAGTGAAATGCGAAGGGTTAGCCCCACAAACCTAAGTGTGGTGGAATGGGGCCCATACGGTGAGGGTGCTAACGGCCTAGAGGGGGCCACAAGGAATTCCCTCGGGGAAATCCAGGTTCCATCCCTCTGGGACCTATATCATCTGTTCGGGGGACCGAGTGATGCACCTAGAGAAGACACATCCCCCACAACCCCAAGGGGGCCCCTGGTGTTCACTCACTGGCAGGAGTTACTCTGCTGCCCAGTGTCCCCTCCCAGGACCTGCCAGGACGTGGAGGGCACTTCCTCGGGGCACATCTGATGACTGGTGGGAGAAGTCAGCACTTGCCCCAGGAACAAGACGAGAGCCACGAAGATGAGCCCCATTACAGCCAGCATCCTCAGTACCTGCAGGAGGACACATCCCCACAGCCTTCCTGGCAGCCGGGACAGCCTTCCCTACTCTACCATGTCCAGGCTTCTGGGAAGGGATTGGGATGAGCCAGGAGCGATGAGGGACGCTCAGAGCAAGGCCGAGGTTGGGACTCATGGTCCTCTCTGCAGTAATGAGGCATGGCAAGCTCTGCAGCCATCCAGGTGGCCTCATCCAAGCCCGGCACCCACCACCACCAGCAGCAGCACCAGGCTGGCTTTGTACTCCTTAATCAAGTCCCAGGACCTAATATTTAGGAAACTAAAAGTGGCTCTAATTAGAAATTGGGCTCAAACTTGTTTATAGAGGGCCGAGTCCCCAGCCAGCCCTCCCTTAGGCTCTCCTGTGCTACCATAGCAGCTCTGCTGTGTGGACCAGCCGGCGGAGCACAGCAGGGACGCTCAGGGACCTCCACTGCTGTCTGGAGAAGTGTCAGCATCTGTAGGGAACAGTGTGTGTCAGCAGCAATGCCAGCTCCGTGGTCACGGTGTCGCCTCCTTAGGCAGTCCCTACAGACGCACACTCCAGCATTCCGATGCCAGGCACAGCTCAGACAGGACCAGCCCAGGCTCCACCCCGCGGGCAGCCGGCCACAGATGTGGCCTCTTGGGGACCCCAGGCAGGCTGTGTGCAGCCAGCCCCTTGGCCTCTATCCCCTGATGCGGGTGTCTTGAGGGTTTGAGTCTCGGTTCCTTGTTTCAGCTGCAAATGAAACCAGGTCCGAAACTGCCGTTTCTGCCTTGGTGGCCTCATCCATTTCTCCTTATTAGCCAGGGGCAGCTGCTTCCCTTCCCCAGCTGGCCCCTGTTTCGGTGCCAGGGTGGGCAGCTGCCTGGGAAGTGGGGCATGACAGAAGGGCCACCGAGAGCTGAGTCTGTACCTCTCGCTGCTGTCCAGGGCAGGGGACTGGAGTGGATGCTGCAGCTAGTTGGGTTGGAGCACCTGCTTTGTGCTCCGAGTGTTGCTCCTCAAAGAGCCAAGGCAGCCCCTCGGGAGGCCATGAGTGCCACCTCAGATGGGAAAATCCTGGCACAGCAAATCGGTTACCCAGCCTTGGCAGAGGCACCCACAAGAACAGGGGCTGGCATCACTCCCAGCGTGAACGGTCCTGGGGTCCCAAGGCACTGTGTGACTCTGGTGGCTGGGTGTTGGAATCTGGGGGCTTCTTCAGCTCTGTGGGAAAGGCCATCACCCCAAGAGCAGTAGGCCCCATCCCACTGCCCACTAGGAGCTGTGTTTGTTGGGTGGCAGCCTACAGAGAACGTGGCTAGCCTCAGCACAGGGAGGGGACTGACGCCATGAGCCAGGCCTGGGGATGTGTCTGCCCTGGAGCACAGTGTCACAGGGAAGTGGGACCTAGAAACCACACCGAGAGCATGCAGCTGGGGGGGTGTGCTGAGGCAGAGTCACCCACAGGGGCCCAGCACCCTCTTACCAGAGATCCCCAAAGAAGGGAGTCAGGAGGTCACCTCCAGCCCAGAGCAGGGCTCATGCTCATGGGGCTATCTCCCACCCTAACTCACAGGGCAGCTCTGGAAGCCCAGCTTCCATCTTTATAACTCCCAGAGGCAGTGTAGACACGAGGTCCTGGACCAGGGCCAGCAGGGATGCCCCTCAAAGAGCTGCTGGCCCACCTCTCCTGGCTCCTCTGAGAAAAGTGTTCTCACGCCCTAAAGCTCCTGGGCTAACAGAAAGGCAAGAACACAGCAGCCCTAATCTAGGACCTCCAAGGACCACAGAGCTCTGGCCTCCTCCTGGTCACTGGGAACTACTCTGAGGCTAAGGAAGAAGAGCCATGAAGGGAGGCTCCAAGTGGCTGCAGGTCTGTCCCATCTTTGGGCTCTGTGGATCTTTTGTATCCTTTGGGTGGGGCTGTCTGTCTAGAATCACTCTCTGGTACTGGCATCTCAGGAGTGAGGTCTTTGAATCTTCCTTGCCTGCTGGCCCCAGGCTGGGACAGGACTTGGCTGCCCAGTGGCTGGAGACCCTGATACCCAGTAATCCCGGATTCACAGACCAAGGGAATGGTTGTCTGCAGGACAATCTGGGTGGTTTATGGGACCTGGGGTGCTGGGAGGCAGGGGCTGTGGGAGGTAGACAGAAGCCCCTTCCAAGGCCCTTGTCTGACCGTAGCCTGGCTGACACTTACCTCTGGGTGCCCTGGCTTGTCCATCGTGGCTCCAGCTACTGTCTGCGGGCTTTGCTTGTACAGGCACCTGCCTCCTCTCTGGCCTGTCGCCTCCCTCCCCTTCCATCTACTTCCTCTCTGCTCTGGGCACCCTACCCCCACCTTGGACTGAGTGGGCCTCTAGAGGGTGGTACTGAGAAGTTTCTCCTGTAGAGAAAATCTGCCACACCTACTCCTAGAGAGGGCCCCTCCGTCACATGTCTAATGTCAGTTTGACCGTAGGTACCAGAGACTCAAGCAAGAGTGTTTCGAACAGTAAAAGCGATTGCATGGTGAGCTAATTGACAGACTGGCCCACTGATACAGCCATGCTGGGTACTCTCAGCCATGCTGAGAGAAGGTGGGCACTGTGGAAGGTAGGGCCTGATTGGAGGAAGTGGTTTCTGGGGGCAGAACTTCACAGGCGATCTATTGTACCTGGGTTCTTCATCTCTGCGACCTGGCTACCTCGGGGCAAGCTGCTTGCTCCTCTACCCCTGATCTCACTATAAGTGCACAGCAATGGCAATGGCTGACCGTGGGTTGAAACCTTCGAATCGGTGAGCCAAAGTAAGTTCTTCCTTCTTTAAATGGTTCATCTCAGGCCATTGACGCAGTGAAGAAAAGCTGACTGACCCATCAGCCACACCCTAGGGCTGGTGTCTGGAGGAGTTATCTGTTGCAGAATGTTGTTGTTTTTGTTTACGCTCTGGAACATTTGTTTAATGATGAAAAGATGTGTTTGATTAAAGATGCGTTTGATTAAAGATGCGTTTGATTAAATGAAGTTCTCCTGTGGTCAGGAGGCTGGGTCAGCAACTAGCTGACAGGAAGCTGTAGGGAGGAGCCAGGTGGAGAAGGTTTATTAAGGAGGGGCGAAAAGGAGCCCAGGACTTCTTGGGAGACTCGAGGAGGTGAGCTGCTTGCGATTCAGCCTCTCCGGGAAGCAGGCTTCTACCTCAACCTTTCAATCTTGAGTTCTTTAGCGGGGCAGAGATTTTTTTTTCCCCCATTTGTTTTAATTTTTGATTTCATTTTACATTCCAGCCATAGTTTTCCCTCCCACCCCTGGCCTCCCCCGCTCCCAGGCCACCATCATTCCACTCCTCGTGGGTAAGGGATCTCATGAGGAGTTAACAGAGTCTGGTACAATAGGTTACGGCAGGACCAGGCCCCTCTCCCATGCTTTAAGGCTGAGCACAGCATCGCACAGTAGGGAGTGGGCTCCCACAGGCTAGCTCAGGTACCAGGTTTGTATCATGGTCCCACTGCCAGGGGGGACCTCTGATAGCCCAAGCTTCACAACTGTCTCCCACATATGGAGGGCCTGGCTCAGCCCCCAGGACTCCCCACAGCTGCTGGTCTAGAGTTCATTAGTTTCCACGAGCTTGGTTCAGCTGTCTGTCGATTTCTCTATCAAGATCTTGACCTCCCTCATTCACGTATTTTCTCCTCCCTCTCTCCGACTAGATTCCCGGAGCTCGGCCTGGTCCTTGGTTGTGGATCCTGCATCTGGTTCCATCAGTTACTGGATGAAGGCTCTATGGTGACAGGGTATTTACCAGTCTGATTGCAGGCCAGTTCAGGCATCCTCCCTACCTCTGCTAGGATCTTGCTGGGGTCCTTAGCTGGGATCCTTGGCAGTTACCTTAGCACGGGTTTCTCCCTAAGCTCTCTCTAGGCTCTCTCTATCTTCCACTGCATCCCTCCCTGCCCCAGCCATCTCGTTCCCTGTTGTTCTCTTTCTCCATTCCCCTCTCCCTTACCACCCCAGCCCCCCAGTGTACCCAGTACATCTCATCTGACTTCCCTTCCCAGGGTGATCCATGTGTCCCTCTTAGGGTCCCAGGTACCCAGTATCGCTGGAGCTGTGGATTGTGGTCTGGTTATCCTTTGCCTTACATCTAGTATCCACTTATGAGTGAGTAGATACCATGTTTGTCTTTCCGAGCCTGGGTTACCTCATGCAGGATGGTGTTTTCTAGTTCCATCCATTTGCCTGCAAATTTCGTGAGGTCACCATTTTGTACAGCTACGTAATACTCCATTGTGTAAATGTACCACATTTTCCTTATCCATTCTTCAGTTGAGGGGCATCTAGGTTGTTTCCAATTCTGGATATTATGAATAATGCTGCTATGAACGTGGCTGAGCAAATGACATCGTGGTATGATTGAGCATCCTTTGGGTAAATGCCCAAGAGTGGTAAAGCTGGGTCTTGAGGTAGATGATTCTCCAGTTTCTTCGAAACCACCATACTGATTTCCAAAGTGGCTGTATAAGTTTGCACTCCCGCCATCAGTAGAGGACTGTTCCCCTGACTCCACATCCTCTCCAACATAAGCTGCCCTCGGTATTTTTGACCTTAGCCAATCTGACAGGTGTAAGACGGTTTCTTAGAGTCGTTTTGGATTTGCCTTTCCCTGGATGTTGAGGACTTCCTTAAATGTCTTTTGGCCATTGGAGAGTCTTCTGGTGAGAATTCTGTTTAGCTCTGTACCCCATTTTTCAGTAGTTTTGATGTCTAGTTTCTTTATAAATTTTGGAGATCAGCCCTGTGTCAGATGGGGTTGGTGAAGATCTTTTCCCATTCTGAGGGCTGCCGTTTTGTCTTGACTGTGTCCTTTGTCTTACAGAAGCCTTTCAGTTTCAGGAGGTCCCGTTTATTGACTGCTGCTCTCGGGGCCTGTGGTGCCTGTGTTGTATTTAGGAAGTGGTCTCCTGTGCCGATATATTCCAGGCTACTTCCCACTTTCTCTTCTATCAGCTCCAGTGTAGCTGGATTTGTGTTGAGATCCTTAATCCACTTAGACTTGAGTTTTGTGCATGGATTTGCAGTCTTCCACATGTTAACACCCAGTTATGCCAGCACCATTTGTTAAAGAGATTTTCTTTTTTCCATTGTACCATTTTGGCTTCTTTGTCAAAAGTCAGGTGTTCATAGGTGTGTGGATAAATATCAGGGTCTTCAATTCGATTCCATTGGTCTGTTTTTATGCCAATACCAAGCTGTTTTTATTACTGCCTGCAGGCCAGAAGGCACCAGATCTCATTACAGATGGTTGTGAGCCACCATATGGTTGCAGGGAATTGAACTCAGGACCTCTGGAAGAGCAGTCAGTGCTCGTAACCTCTGAGCCATCTCTCCAGGCCCCACACAGGATTGTTAGATATCCTGGGTTTTTTTTCAGATGAAGTTGAGTATTGTTCTGTCAAGCTTTGTGAAGAATTATGTTGGGGATTGCATTGAATCTTTGGGTTGCTTTTGGGTTG